GAATTGTTTTTGCATATTGATTAAAATATTTCAAAAACTGAAAATCGGGTCTGCGAGAGAGTTGTTCAGCATTTCATCCTCTCAGTAATGGACTATTACTCAAAATTTCATCTTAATGCAACGCCGTGTAAGAGAGGGGAAAAGGGAAAAAATAGTGTCGAAAACCAAATAATAACGAGTTTTATAGAAGATATGGATTAAGTTATCTCGGAAACTAAAAATCGGACCTGCGTACTGTAAGCGAGGAAAATGTTCGGCATTTCTTTCTCTTTATAATGAGTTATTATTTATAATTTATATTTCACATTATTAATCTCACCTTGTTGATGTTTCACTTCGTGTGGTCTAATGAAATTTGAGGAGAGGCACATTTCGATTTTTCGAAATGAAAAGTTTCAATCTAAGAGACAAGATGAAAGCATAGAATAGACCAATGAAGAGAAGAACAGCAAAATATGTTAGGAGGAGGGGGAGTTTCATGCACCATCGACATTGAGGGGAGGAGGACACCTCTGCATTACAGATTCACAGAATGCAGACAGAATTGCAAGTTATAAAAGGCGAATTTATAATAACTTATAATAGATTAACTACAATAGATAGGGGCGGAGTGGCCGAACGGGCTAACGCATGTGCACAGCACCGCGAGTTGCCCGGCAACCAGATAACTCTCTAGTTATGAGATTAAGAAAAGTAGGAGTTCGCGTCCGGGTTCCGGAGGGGTTTCAAATTCTCGCCCTCACCCTTCGGCCCGGGAAACTCCTGTATAGCCTAAAAGGCGAGATAGGGAAGAACAGGAAAAAAAACTATAATAGGTTAAATCTCCAATATTATCATTCTGAGCAAAAGATCTATAAAAAAACAAATTAAAAAAAACATGAATCATAAGATGACGATGTCATTTTTGAATAAATAAGTATCCAAACGTGACTTTTACGTTTAAGGATAGGATTACCATATTCCATATATAGTCCAAACGAGTCTCAGTTTCTCCTTATCTCACTTCCAAGCAGGCCCGATCAGCTAGTCGGCGATCGCCGAGTAATATAAAACTCATTGTTTTATATTTTTCTACTACCCCAAAAATAATTGTTTTGGGTTCGTTTATTTCCTTAAATTTTTGGGATCTCTCCGATGACCTCCAATATACGTTTTTCGTACTTTCTTATCGCCTAGAATGATTAGAGGGGCCTCTTCTGAGGGTTCGGAAGATCGTTGATTTGTATTTATTTGGTACCGCGGCATGTTTGACTTCAAAAATTGTCTTGTAAATTACCTATAAGTCCTTCTAGAAACAACTTTTATACATTTTTTTAATTTATATATAATATTATCCTAAGAAGGAAGCTCCACTTAAGATTCTAGCGGACAGGACCCCAAAGATGTAGGTCTAAACTTCCAAGTAAGTGAATAACTCACCTGAACTTTTGTTGCCAGCCATTACAATAATCAGGTCATCCACATAAACAATTGTGGATAACATCTCTTCTTGGAGTATTCCCAGTTTTTCAGTGACTAGCTTCCCTAAGAACTAAGTCCTGCCTACAACCTGTCCACTAAATCTTCAAATTCATAGAAGCTATCACTTTTTGTCTGAAGGGTGGGTCCTGGAAGAAGATCCTCATGCATAAAGATTTTTAGGAATACCATTTCTGCAGCACATGCTGTGGAATTCAGAGGATATGACATACCCCTCAAGCCCTCTCTCATGTCATGGCTAATATGTAGCAGTACATCTGCTGTCTCTTAACTTTGGTGGATTCATACTGCTTTGGATAATTTCCTCATTATAACTAACTAAGATAGTATTGTGACTACTGATATAAGAAATATAAACAAAAAATATGACATCTGATTCAGTTGGAAATAATTTTGCTTGATGTAAGAAAATAAGTAATTATAACTTAAGCACCACTAGGATAATAAAAAGAAACTGTAACACAATCCATGAAGGATGTGGGTTTAGTAGTTAAGTATTGTTTCTCATATGATTGTGGAAGATGATACTCAAATGCCATTTTTTTCAAAGAGCATTCACTTTGTAGTGACTGGGTGAGCCCTAATAGGATTTATATCTGGACTCCAGGGTTGATCCATGGGTGCTTAGAAGGGGGTTTCATGGCGTCATTAAAATTTTTGAGGGGAGCATATTTTGACGGGTTTATGAATTTTTGAGGAGCAAAAATTTCGACAAGATAATGAATTTTCGTACTAAGAGACAAGGAGAAAAGCAGAGAACACGACACAGCCACAGCAAGTGTAATTGTATATGATCTATGATTTTTCTAATTTTACCTTAGCTTGTTCTGTTTTTAAGAAAAGGTGAGCCATAAAATATCTAGAGATGGGGAGGGGAGAGAGGGTAAGTTATCGTGTCATCGACCTTGGAGGGAGGGGGGGGGGAATGGGCATCTCTGGATTCATGACAGATTCAATAATTACCTACAGCAGGATCCAGGATGCAGAGCACAATGTCTAATTCATATATTATGCCTCCCTGAAATCCTTCCAGTTCTTCTATTCATTTATAACTTTTCCCTTCAAAATTCTGTTTTTCCTACATCCTGGAAAAAAGCCTTAGTCCGTCCTATTAACAAAATCCCTAACCCCACCTCTCCTAAAGACTATCATCCAATTTCCATCCTCTCAAATCTGTCAAAACCGCTCGAAAGAATAGTCCAATCGGAAATTTCCAATTTTCTCAAAGAGTTCAAACTTTTAAATCCTCTCCAATCTGGCTTTCTCCCAGGCTTCTCCACTCAATCCGCTTTAGTTAAAATCACAAATGGCATACATACTGCAATTGACGAAAGAAAACTGACTGTATTAGTACTCCTGGACTTCTCCAAAGCGTTCGATTCCTTAGACCATTCTATTCTCTTCACTAAATTAAAATCTCTATCCTTTTCCAATAGTTCTATCCAATGGTTCCAATCCTTTCTTTCTGACAGAACTCAAGCCGTTAGTATTCCAAATCAACCCTTATCTTCTTTCATCACTTTGTCTCATGGAGTAGCCCAGGGTTCAAGCATATCTCGTATCCTTTTTAATTCGTATATCAATGACCTTCCTAGTTCAATCCACCATTGTTCATACCATCTATATGCTGATGACTCCCAAATTTATTTTTCTTTTCCGCCCACTGAGTTATTAGAAGCGTTTACGAATATTCAGAGAGACCTAGATAGGATAAGTGCCTGGGCAAGCTTGAATAAGTTAAAGTTGAATGCAACGAAAACTCAGGCCATTCTTATAGGTTCCAAGTCCCTCCTTAGATCCATTTCCACCCATCCTTCCTTGATTATTAATGACCAACCAATCTCCTTCACCTCCTGTAAAAAACTTAGGAATTACCATTGATCAAAACCTATCATGGAAACCCCATATTGCTCAAATCTCCAGAAGGTCAATTGGTACTCTTAAATTATTTCATCGTTCTCGTCAGCATCTCCCACAACCTATCCGCAGGCTCCTCGTTTCCTCATTGATTTTCCCCTACTTTGACTATGACTGAGTGGTATAGGGTGGCCTCTCGTTGGAGCTTGAGGACAGACTGAAGAGAATCATGAACTGTTTTTTAAGATTCGTTTTCGGCACTTCGAGATGGTCTGATGTGTCCCACCTATATGCCGAGTCAAAGTGGCTCTTCCAGCCGCCTATACTTCCTTGGAAATTTCTGTTAACGATCAACCCCCAGCATCCTTCCTATGTCTGTTGTCTCCTCCAGCCTAAACCCTTAGTCCACTCAATAAATACGAGATTCCCTGTTTCTGACCTCTATATTCCATTCCACAGGACAAAAACCTATGAACGTTCCTTCTTAGCCTGCTCTGTCTCCTACTGGAATTCTTTGCCTCATAACATCCGTCATGCCTCTTCCCTGCTAACTTTCAAATATCTCCTTACATCCCAAACAGAAGATTTACCACCATAAATTTCATTTTATGAACTGAATTTGCGTGAAGTAAATGGTGGTGCCTACTGTTTAAGATTTAACATAAAACAGCAATGATCTTCGACACCTAGTTTGATTTTTACTTTTTTTTTCTCTTTTCTCCTCAGGTTGTGCTTTTTCTTTCGGGTATATATGTTTATATTTTTGTCCTTCTGTGTGCCAAAATGAGAATGTACGTATAAATAGTTTCTTTTATTTATTTATTTTTTTCCATTACACAAATATCCTAAGATTTTATTTTATCTTAGTGTCTGCATATTATTATATAAATCACTGTAGATATTATTACATTTTGTATTAAGTTAGTTTTCTATTAGATAGCCTATTGTTTATAAATTGTGTAGTTATGTATATATAAATATATAATTTCTCTTCTTTTTTTTTCATCACAATTAAGTAATTTTGAGAAGATTTTATGTTCATTTGTATATATATTTTATTTTTTACTGGTTACATACTTTTTAAATAATGTATATAATATTAAAATTTTTAGAAGTTAGTTTTTGGCCAGATTTGTACTTAACTTTGTATTAACTCATCATTGTTATTCTAAAGGGACTTAGTCCCAGAATAAAGTTTAATTTTCTATTCTATACTCTACCCCTTCCCATAATAAATCATCTGGTGTTATCTATTCAAAACATTATGTAATAAACTTGAATTATTTTGTAAAGTAACTTCTTCATTAGTATGTTTGCTTCCATATATACAAGGTAAAAATAAAATAAAAAGTTTCTACCTCTTCTTCTGCAACAAACTCCTCTATCCAATTTGATCCTCTACTCTACCTTACTGGCCTACTTTCCATTCAACCTCACAACATAATTGTGTATCTGTTTTGTCATAAAATCATTTAAATTGATGGGTTTATATAATCAAGAAAATACTTGATTTTGGTGTTCGATATCACATAGGAGTTAGCATCCATTATTTGATAAAACTGAATAGTAAACAAGTTTTGACAAACCAGTTATTTTTTAACTATTCTATTAATTTAAAAAACTTAGAGACTATAAAGGTCAAGGAAAAGATTTAGACACACTAGTTAATTAAAAAAAAGAAGTTTATTTACAAGTACAAACTACAAAAAGAGCCAACTGATATAATCATCAGTTGACAGAGGTACAAGACTTGGGATCAAGTCCCACTGTATAAAACACATTGACATTTGCTTTGTTTTTCCCCCTAAATTACATTCATAATGAATATAAAAACCCCCTAATTTCATATTCTGTACTATTAGCAACATGAATTGGAAAGTATAAAAATATAAAAAAGGATATAATAATTTTCTTTAGTTAGCAGTTTTCAAGAACTTTTAGCCCAAAGATTATTTCTTTTTTTTTTTGGATATATTTACAAAGGGTTTTTATAAAAACTTTTTCCATGGAAAAAATGCATGTACAATAAAGGGAGATACAGAGTTTATACAAAAACCTTATAAAAAATGGTCCTTAACGGTGTTATAATGGAGAGAAGGCACAAGAACTTTGCACTTCTAAATCATTTTTTTTTTTCAGTTAAAATTTACACAAAAAGGGTATGTCACTGATAGAACTCATAATAGGCATACCACCTTTGAACAAGCCTGATAACATCTTAAAAACACTATTACTAAAATAAGACCAACTATTTTCTCCACTAAACAGTAATATAATTATACTTAAAAAACCAAAGATATGTTAAAATAGATTTGACAAACTTTATATTTAATTTTTTTGTAATCAAGTGTGTCCACAGCTTAATGAACATTACATGAATTAAGGTAGCTGACATCCTGATAATATATTAACATAAATAACCAAATAAAACTAATTCTAAAATACAAAACAGTTTGGTCATTTTATCGAGATAAAACAAATAAATAAACAATATTACAATATATAGTATTTTAATTTATATAAATAGATATTTCAATAAGTTTCTATACATAAAAGACAATTTTTCTGTATTTATTCTACTTGATTGCTAAAGTATATATAAATATTGCACTAAAAATCTTACAATGTGGACTTAAAAGGCTAGATTTGATTTGTTAGAGCTAAGCTAAAACATCATTAGGTTTATCACCCGCAGGCGAATTCTATGCCTTAGAAGTGCACATTTTCCTTTTATATTTTATAAATGGTAAAATTTAAAAATATTGCTTTAGTAAATGATCGACTCTCTTAAACCACCACTCAACCAATCATTTGTCAAGGTAACAGAAATCAAGTTCGAAAAAATCCTAAAATGAAAACATATCAAAATCCTAAAAAGAAAAAAAATTGTCCATTATCATAAAACAATGAAAACATGAAACCTGGAAATGAAATGTTCAACATCAGATGTGGACACAAATAGCAACGAAAAAGCTAAAGGAACCAAAAGTTCTTTATAGATTCTCTTATTTAAGTGAGTTTCAGGGACTTTAGTTAATTAATCAGTCTTTATGAAGTAGAACATTTTGTGTCTTTCAAAAGGATTTTCAGAGTTGAAGGTATAATCTCATCATACTGTTACTTTAATAATAACTTAGTAATAGAATTAAAATGAAATAATAGATATTATGGGGACTAGGTCAACATTGATAATTAAAATACTAAAATAATTATTTAGATTTCTAATTAGGCACTAAGATTGACTTAATTTAATCAGTCTACATATATACCAATGAAGTTCTTAAGCAGAGTATTGCTTATATATATATAAACGGTTTATAGTAAAGCCATAATTTAAAATTTACCATTCATCTCCAAAAATACATTATTTCTTCTGAAACACAGAAAATGTTCATTTAGTTCAAAGGGAAGTTCATTAACGCAGCAAATACTAAACATCTGTTTCTGTTTCAGTGGAATTCCAGACCCATATTAACTAAATTGTAACAGTACTGAATATCCTTGTTTTTTTTTTTTTAATTTGTTTTTGTTTACATTAAGTTATAATTTTACACAATAATTAGAAAACCTATAAAGGATAATGGAACAATTTTAATATACAATTACAGAATGAAAAAAATTAAATTAAATTAAAACTAAACAATACTTTGTAGTATGAGGAATGTGGCAGGATTGGTGACCACAAATCCTCTTGAAGGACATGAGATCTAAAAAAAATAAATAAATAATAATATAATAAAATAAATTATGCAATAATAAAATATAGACAAAACTCCTGTTACTATAACATATTAAGTATACAGTAAAAACTATAAATCTTAGCAGAATACTATACCGGACGTATTCTTTCATATAGATTACTGAACTAGTATTAGCGAGCAATAGAAATAAACCTATATGCAGCAGTAATAATAATATAAAACATATAACTGGATGCCAATTAATAATTAAACAGTTTTTGTTCCTATTATGTCTTTAAATCTTAATGACTTGATCTATTTCTGTACCCAATAATTATGAAAAACCAATTATGAGAAATTAAGCTATAATACTTAATGTAGATTAATAAGATTACTCACATTGTTGTGCATTTTATTAAGTCATTAATGGAAACTTTAAAACAGAAAACTTTCCTCTATTAGTTGTCATGGATGACAAAAAAGATGTTTTAGAAAAAAATAAACTTAGTTAAGGAAAAAAAAATCTACAAATGATCCTCTCAATTGACAGAAGGGCTTAGTCCAATTTCAACATTTTTGATTATAAATGTTCGTCATATTTCTAGAGAGGAATGTGTACCTTTTTCATTCACAATTGTATATTTCAACATTGCAATCACCTACTCTGGAATCAACTTACTCACTGTATGTACAGATATTATAATTTTCTGAACTAGAAATATCACTGAAAGGACTTTACTAAAAAAATTTTAAATTGGGATTAGTCATTATGTCAACTGAGAGGTGCTGAGATTAAAAACTGTTTAACAGGAATTCAAAGACAATTTTAACATGGTAATGTTTAGAAAGTTATAAACAAAACTAATAATATATTCAATAATAATTCATAATTGCTACTTTTCAGTTTAGTGCCTTCTTAAAGTTATTTAAGGATGGATTTTCCTTTTAGTAACATACAACTTTCACTTAATGCTCTACTTTGAATATAAATTATTTAGTTCAAAATTTTTGAGTAATGTCATTTTAATGATATTTCTAGTTGGAAAATTTGTATCTATACGGACAGTTGAATAAAGGTTTAATTTTGTCACCAGAAACATTATTAAAATTAATAATAAAAAATATTGAAATTGGAGTTAGTCGTTCTGTCAATCGAAAGGCTCACTGTCTGTACAGATATTATAATTTTCTGAACTAGAAATATCACTGAAAGGACTTTACTAAAAAAATTTTAAATTGGGATTAGTCATTATGTCAACTGAGAGGTGCTGAGATTAAAAACTGTTTAGCAGGAATTCAAAGACAATTTTAACGTGGTAATGTTTAGAAAGTTATAAACAAAACTAATAATATATTCAATAATAATTCATAATTGCTACTTTTCAGTTTAGCGCCTTCTTAAAGTTATTTAAGGATGGATTTTCCTTTTAGTAACATACAACTTTCACTTAATGCTCTACTTTGAATATAAATTATTTAGTTTAAAATTTTTGAGTAATGTCATTTTAATGATATTTCTAGTTGGAAAAGTTGTATCTATACGGACAGTTGAATAAAGGTTTAATTTTGTCACCAGAAACATTATTAAAATTAATAATAAAAAATATTGAAATTGGAGTTAGTCGTTCTGTCAATCGAAAGGCTCATAAGTGCCTAGAGAGATTTGAAAGTACATTCAAATTATTATTTAATTTAACCTATAAATGATTATGGATGGTAGGATTATTAGTTATAAAACTGTTATTTTCCATTGTGAAGTTTCCTAAAATGAAATAAAGAGAAGTTCATTGCCTGCTGTGAATAGATCAAAAGTTGTCACACTAATTGTTGGCATATCACAAAGGGAAAATTCATCTCAAATTAAATTTTCTAAAAGGTTACTTGATGATTTTGGGGAATAAACTGCCAATAGATAATTATTTAAATATAATAATACTACCATTAAATAATAATAATACCATATCCAGAGTTATTAAGCTATAGTAAATGCATTTAAGGTTATAAATATATCCATGAAATATTTTTATATTTCACTTCTTCTTTCACACAAGTACAATGGAATAGTATTTTAAACCATGGCATTGGTATGATTCAGTGGATTTTAAATGCTTTTTTTTTTTTAAACTTTCTGTTTTCTGAAATTATAATTTATATTGTTTTCATCACTCTCCATTACCTTCTACAACTTTATTTATTTGATATGATTTTTTCTAAAATTCTCTGCTTTCCAACAATATATTACAGGTATAAACCCCCCCCCCCTTCTGACAGTTATTTCCAGAGATTCATTTTCAACCTGGATCATTTTTGTTTTTTCCCTAGTTTTCAATTATCATGTTCTTTTAAACTTCATATTTAGCCATTTTTTTTATAGTTACTGTCAATAAAAAAGTTAATTTTTTTAAATAAACCATATTAAAGGTAACTTGGAGGAAGACTTATATGAAAATTGGGCATTTAAGCCCAGTAAAGTGACATCAGGATGTAAAGGAAACCTGGATGTCCCAGGACAGAAACAGTAGAAATCAAATTGACTACTCAAATTCTCATTGATTCTAGACACTGTTCTCATATAAATGACGTGAGAAGTTATCGAGGAGCGGATGCTGACACCGACTATTTCTTGGTTAAAGTACCTTGCAAACAGAGAATAGAATGCAATGTCCGAATACATGGAAAAAGAACTATCAGGTACCAAAGCGGAATTTCAAAAATATCTCAAAAAGCTGAACAATTAAAAAAAATTGTACAGGAATCATTTATAAAGAGGTATGATGAAAATGAAGAAATAAACAGCTATTGGGAAAGGATTAAATCATCTTTAAACGAGGGGGCCGAGGAGATTTTGAAGACAACACAGATAAGGGCGAGCAAGGAATGGTAAAATGAGTAATGCGACCGAGCACTTCGGGACAGAAAAGAAGCGAGATTGAGAATGCTTACTGCGGGTACAAGAAGTAGGCAGGAGTATATTTCAATGAGAAGGATGGCAAAGACGATATGTAGGCAAAAGAAGAGAAGTTTTGAAAAAAGCAAACTCGAAATGCTCCAAAGCGATGAAGGAATTCAAGAATGGTTTCCAACCCAAAATGACAATATACAAAAATAAGAAGGGTGAACTTATCAGCGATCCATCAAAGATCTTGCAGACGTGGAGGGTGTATTTTAATGATTTGTTAAATGTTGAACAATCAATCCCAAGCAGAGTAGTGCGAAACTGCCCTAGGGTAGGACAGGAGGAAGTTAACAACAGTGATGTAGAGCCTCAAGAAAATGAACATTTTTTAGAAGTAATAGCCGCATTGAAGAATAATAGATGTCCTGGTCTGGATAGTATAGATGCAGAGATGGTAAAGAATTACAGAGAGCCTTTGTTAAGAGAGATCTATAACCTAATGATGGAAGTCAGGATAACGGGGCAAATGATGGAAAGAATGGACTACTGCTATCATATGTCCTGTTTTCAAGAAAGAAGAAAAAACAAACTGCGACAATAATAGAGGCATTTCATTGTTAAATACAGTATACAAAGTATTTGCAGTTCTGTTGAATAAAAAAGGCACTCCAAGAAGATTTCGGGTAAATACCAGTGTCGTTTTAAACCTGATAAATCAACTATAGATCATATTTTATCAATAAGGCAAATGTTAGAAAAAACATGCAAATACCAAATGGACTTATATCATGTTTTCATAGATTTTAAACAGGCATATGATAGTACAAGCAGAGGAGAATTACTGAAGGTAATGATAAAATTGGGGATTCCCAAAAAACTGGTCACTTTGACAAGAATGATCCTAAGCGGTAGTAGATCAGTTGTGAAGATTAATGGCCAATTGTCGGAGGATTTCGAGGTAAAAGATGGGCTTAGGCAAGGGGATACTTTATTCCCTATTCTATTTAATATAGCTTTGGAGTATGCAATAAGGGTGGTCCGGACATATCCTGGTGGCACAATTTATAATAGAATGACACAGCATCTGGCTCACACTGATGATGTTGTAATAACGGCAAAAAATAAAACATCATTAGCACGAGCATTAGAAAAATTCGAAACTGCAACTAAAGAACTACGGCTACAAATAAATAGACAGAAGACTGTGTGCATGCAAATGTCACAAAAGCGAAGTGAAACAATTGAATGCATCACAATTGGTAACCACACCCTAAAAGTGGTCAAAATTTTTAAATATTTGGGAGCACTAATCATAGAAAACAATGAAATGGTGGAAGAATTAAAAGTAAGGATGACTGCCGGAAAAAGGTGCTGCTTTGCAATGGGAAAAATATTAAATTACAGATCTCTTTCTTACAGAACAAAGATCACGGTGTATGAGAAAGCCATCAGACCCGTTGTCACCTATGGCTCTGAGACTTGGGTGACCTCCAAAGCATCGGAAAAAAGACTACTCGCATGGGAGAAAAGGTTTCTCCGCAGGATCTATGGCCCGCTGTGCGAACAGGAACAATGGAAATTCGCCCTAATAAAGAGCTGTATGAAATGTATGCAAGGGCGGATTTGGTCTCAATTGTGAGGGGAAACCAGATCAGATGATTGGGCTATGTGGTGCGTTTGCCCCGAGACGCGATTCCCAGACGCTTGCTAGAGGATAGGCCTGCTGGAAAACGTGGAAGAGGAAGACCACGCCTGAGATGGCTGGACCAGTTAGAGGACAGCCTGAAAGAGATGGGAATTCGAAGATGGATAATGTTCGCTCGGGATAGAGGAGAGTGGCGAAGGATCATAAGAGAGGCCCAGGTTCTTACAGGACCATAGCGCCAAGAATAAATTAAAAAAAAAAAGTGACACCAATAAGGATAAGCTCTAAATGATATTAAAGACAATTTAATTATACAATGATACAGTTTAATTAAAATTGTTAAGAAAAATTTTTGAGAAAATTGTAAAAATGTGTTACACCATTGATATAAAGTGGCACTTAATTGACTGATATTAAGTGGTTAGCTGATTTTAAGGAAAAAGTTGCTGTAACATCTCAGTCAATTACCTATTTAAATACGTAATACCATTTTGCGGGACTTGGTTATTTGGACTCAGGAGACCTCAAAACGTGTATTTCTGTTGAAAACTGAGATTCGAAACTTTTCGATAAAAAGATCACAATACTTTCCTTACTTTATATTACACATATATGTAAGTGAAAGTAAAAAATAAGGAGTAAATAATATTACATTAGACTGGAGAAAATTAATAAAGGTGAATTTTAATCTATCAACTTTTTTTTTTGTTCTCCCCTTCCTCGCCTTTAAGGCTATACAGGGGTTTTCTTGGGCCAGGGATTTAAAAACTCCTCCGGGCACCGGGACGCGAACTCGTGGCTATTTTTTTTTATCAAAGTCTTATTTATCAGGTTGCCGGGCATTGGTGGTGCAGTGCACACGTGTTAGCCCATTCGGCCAACCCCTCCCACTTTATCAACTTACTTTAAGAATGATATTAACAACTGTTTAGTGAAGGGTTAAAATAAAGTACAAAAAATCTGGGCATCACACAACTATCACTTACCACCCTCTTCTTTGTCTGAGGGTGCTCTCAGCAGAAATAAGTATTTCCAGACAAAGGAGGAGTAGAAGTAAAAATTATTGACACAATATTTATTTACAATTCATTGTGAATATTTTTATTTGCTCAAATAACCTTATATATACAAATTGTAATTTTTATATCAACGTATTATATTCAATTAAAGATTGAATCATACTAACAATAGCATCTATGAAAACCGCACATATATATGAAAATAATATTGTCAGAGTCCGTATTATATGTATAATCCGTATATGAAGCTCATGTTACGTATGGAAGGCTATTATAATCTTTCAGACGAGCTTGGGTAAGCTCGTATTTCTTTTGATTCCTCCATTACAACTATCATCTGTTATGATCTCTTATTTCTTCTTTAGTCAATTATAAAATTCACTCATATTTTATATTTAACTATTTTTTATATAAAAAATTAATGTGAAATGGTAAATTATTTCAAATAAAAAAATAAAGGTACTTTAAAGGAAGCCAATATTGAAAATTAGCCATTTAAGTTTTGATAGAGAACATAAATGAGAATAAAACTGCTTTTACTCATTATATTAAACATTATACTGAACATTATATTAAAAACTGCTTAATAATACTCAGACATAATGAGTTTAATCAAAATCGTTAGAGCTGTTTATGAGAAAATAGTAAAAATGTGTTAAATCGACGATTATATGAAGTACCACTTCCGGTTTGGCAAAAATATTGTTGTAACATCGGAAGCTTATAAAAACCTTAAATATGCAATTTCATCACTTGCATATAACTTTTCGTTTTTGAGCTAGAGTGATAACATACCACTGTGAGGGACTTCGGTTATTTGGACTCAGGAGACCTCAAAACATGTATTTCCATTGGAAACTCAGACTCGAAACTTTTCACTATCACATTACTTACCCTTACTATATATTGCAAATATATGTAAGTGAAATCAAAATAGAAATAAGGCCTGCTGTGATGTTGACATTTTACTTAGTGAATCAAAATTTAACCACCCTAACAATTAAGGGTTCATGCATGCCTCAAGTTTATAAAATATAAAAAAATTAAGGACTTGCGTTAACTTAAATGTTTGTACATTTTAATAATAATAAAAATAAATAAACATACCCATATTGCAATATGCGTACTGCTTAAACAGGTCGCACAGGTTGCCTCTGGTAATTTTCCAACCCTAACCTCACCCGCTTCACATTTGGTCCAAGTTCTCCCTCTGTATCAGAGGACATAACTTCTTCTAAAAGTCCGAGTTCTTCGTACATTTCGTCAGGGAGCTATATAAATAGAAGATAATAAATTATTCAGTCCCAAACTTTTAAAATAAAGCCGATATCATATATTACAACTTTTTAACAAATTTCATAGACTAAAAAATAAAAATTAACTTACACCAAGATCATTGGATTCTTGAGAAGAAAGTCTTGAATCAAACCTCTTCAGCGAGGGGGGTACCTCCTCTCCTTCACTATCACTATCGCTATCTTCTTCCGCACCAGAATCATAGCTGTCTCTCCTTAAACCAATTTTAAGGTCTCCTCGTTCTAGCTTCTCAAGCTCTTCTGCAATAAAATGTTAATTTGGTTAGAGTAAAAATTGGGAGATTAATTGATTCCTCACTAATGACTATAAAAGAAATTATTGAATTAGAATAGGACTGTCATCTCAATTGGTATTTACAAGTGTAATAGAATACATCAACTAGAGAAGAGGAATCCCTTCCCTTGTAACTAATGAATATCAAGAATTTACAAAATTATTATCCTTCAGACTGTTCTTTATAATTGTGAAACATGGCCGCTTACATTGAAGGATAAGCAACACCTGGGCAAGGAATGGTGTAAGGACTGGAGAGTACTTTTTCGAACAGATACAGAAGTCACCTTGGAACCAACATTAAGGAAAAGAATGACGGACAATCAGAAATAGTCATGTATGATGGCCAAAAGTAGATGCTGCTGTATGCTCGGAAAAGTACTTAGGTCAAAGATGTTGCTCTGGTAGTTAAAGAAGGCCACTGGTGTATCTTGAATTATGTTACAGAAGATTGACACAAATTTCGAGGGGTTATATTCACTTAAGAAAATTCTTTTAAAAAATTAATAAACCATGGCCAATGCATTAGTAATAAAAGTTACAAGAATGAAACAAAAATGTGGGGGGAGGGAAGTCACTAAGGACTAAGATTCATTGCCTCACTGGAAGAAATAGCCTGTACTTATCGTTAGGCAAAACTATCTTTCATTCATTCAACAACCAAAATTAATTATTCTAGCTGTAACTGAAGGAACTATTAATTGAGAACTCATGTATAATCCCTGTTTTTAAATTATTTTTTGTTCTTTTCTGTACCTAATAGACCAAGAAATATGCCTACTAGAATGAAGGATATTTTCTCTCTAAGTTACACTACTTGGTCCATTGTACAATACTGATAAAAGAAAAAATATATATATAATAGAGCTGGACCATAAAAAAAATTATTACCAGGATACTTCATGGATCTCCTTATGGCTGCTGGGTCCTTCTTAGACCATTTTGCAACTTCATCGTCCATCTTGGCAATTTTAGCAGGATTCATGGCCCAAAGGCAACCTTTCCGACAACCTCCTCCGGCACCCCCTTTTTCAATCTTTTCAAAGCATTTGTTCAAAGACAAATTATGCCTAACAGAGTTCTTCCAACCGGCAGGGGCAGACTTAAAATATGGAAAATGCTCACTGAAACAGAATTAAACAAAATAAATTATAAAAACTTCTTTTAATTGATAATAACTTTGTTTGATAACTAATAATGTTGAAACTTTGTATTTTTACAGAATTGAAAAGAAAAAGTAAGCATTGAAATGACGTACATACTTCACTAGGATGTAAACTAAAACATAAGCTCAACGAGTTTTTTAGATTTTTTTTTCTTCTGAATTTAAGGTGAAGAATTAATTATAATTCAAATAAAAAATATTATAATCATAATAATAAGATAAGCTCAATTAAACTTACCACATAAAATTGTAGATTTCAGACACAGGAAGACTTCCAGTAATGGAATTTTTAAGAGCCATTGCAATAAGACAAGAATATGAATATGCTGGTTTAGGATAACCTTCATGATCTTTGTATCGTTTCACCAATAAACTCCTTGGATTTGGAGAATCAGCACTTCTACTTTTTGTTGACTGCAAACAAAACATAAACATCAAAACTCTTAACAAATAAGCAATAATAATGCTTATAATTTCTGCTGCTAATTTGAAAGAAACATTTTGTAATAAAGTTCAATTTTTGGACAGTTTTCAACAGATCTTTAAATTTCGAAGTTTAGTCAACAATCTGATTTACTTTATAAGGAAGGAAAGGAGGTAATATTTTAATAACCAATGACCGAAAATTATTTTCTTGTCACTGTTAGTAGTTTTTGACATGCATCATCAAAGATTTTAATAATTGAACAAAATTAGTGAGAAGGAAGACTTTTAAAAATTTGTCTGAATCCTCTCAAGAGTTAATTATTACATTGCAGGATAAATAAGGACTTAATTACAATGAGGAAGTACAAAAACAGCAGAAAATGGAACTGGATCGAGCTAATGAGCCCACACAGCTAAAATTGTCGTGGGAATTTGACAAAATAGACATGAGAAGAGTTAATTACCAACATGCACAGTTAAAGAGAACTTAAACAAAATTGTTTGATAAGTTATGCCCGTCACATGGATTTGAGAACCAACAGCTACTACCTAAGACAAATTTGCTCCTTGATACCTGAGCATAAATTAAGGAAAAATGTTGCTTTCATTTTGGTGCAAAATCACCTGGAATAACAATGATGAACATTTCTATTAAGTTAATTATCCTATTCAACAATCAATAAATTTTTTAGTTTTAATCTAACGTAATTGTTCAAATTTACTTCTGATCCAAAACACAAATTCCATTTTTATTTTGTAGTGGTAACTACAAATGGAACTGCTATGATCTGTTCCCATAGAAAACAAAAAGCCAACTGAGTACGGGAAGTACAAAAAAAATAATAATAAATAAAACAAAAAAGGGAGCGAATGCTAAGTATAGATAGATTACTCAAAGATACATATAAAAACAAACATGAAAAAAAAGAAAGGGCAGTGGAAATAAAAAAGAGAATATTAAAGTAGAATAGAAATAATTAAAAAAATGTTTATAAAATAAACTTACATGCAACACTCTAACAGTTTGATGATGATTGTTTGTTGATGGTGTTTTTGAAACAACAACTTCAGTCTTCGGTCTTGCTTGGTAACTAATACCCACATTTTCATTTTTTACGACAGTAGGTTTTGTTAAAATCTAGAAAACATAATATAAGCAAAATTTTTTGGACAAGCACTCAAGTATAATATTTTATAGACAAGTAATCTATGAAAAGCAGTAACAATTTTCACAACTATCCAATTTAAGTGTGGCGAACTATGGCCTATCGGGTAACTTCAAATTACTAATTGAAACTATTATAACTGGTTAAATGTATGCATAAGATATTATAATGATGTAGCAATGGTTGACCGTGATATAATATGAGAAGGAGTTGATCGGGGGAGAGGGGGGTGCGGTCAAATAAATACTAAATTACAGAAATAGTATTATTTAATTTTTATGCTGGCGTTTCGACCCACTTTGCAGGTCTTCATCAGGGCATAGGATGTAGCACTGTGGGAGACAGTTGAAACACAGGCCACATTTATTTGACCACAATCCTCCCCCCCAATGACGAATTATTACTAAAAAAACAAAACAGATCATACTTGTAAAAGTTAATTTACAGCTTTCAAAACTTTAAAGCCTTCCTAATATCTAGCTAATCAGGGACATCCCATTAACTATAATACGCATGTGACAAATATAAAATAATAATTTATATGTTATTACTTCTTAATCTTATTCTTTATTGTTTTATATTAACGTGAAATTGGGGTAAACAATCAACTTTTCTTCACAAGAATTTAGAATAAACTGATCAATTAAAATTAAGTTAATTATTAATTTGAAGGCAGTTTTAGTAACTTAAACTTTGTGTTCAAAGGCATCTCTACAGACAGACGGAGGCTCTCAGCTAGCTTTGGCATATCATAAACAGAGACTATCATAGCCCACTTGTCACTTACACTTAATCATGATACTACGATAGTTTAAAGTTTTATCTTAAATTATATAAAAAAAAATTAAAATTTGAATCCTGACAATATATTGTTGACACCATGCTAAAGTAATGAATGTTAATCTGTCCAATGTTGCACATTCGTTACTTTAACATGGTAGCGACGATATATTGTCAGGATTCAAATTTTAAACATTTTTTTTTAATATAGCTTAAGATAAAAAATGGTTTAACTGTAGTATTATCACACAGAAGTGACAAGTGGGTCATGATCACATCAGTTTATGGAATACCAAAGCTAGCTGAGTGTCCGTTCGTCTGTAGAGGTGGCCTTGCCCTCCTTTGTACACAAAGTTTAAGTTACATAAACTGCCTTCATATTATTTACTAACTTGTTTTTAATTGATCAGTAATCATCTAAATTCTTGTGAAGAAAAGTCTATTGTTTACACCAAATTCACTTCATTACAATGAATGCGAACCTGTTCAATGTTGAACATTCATTATTTTAAAATGGTTCCAATTATAGATATACAGCCACACAAATAGGCACATAAAGCGGGTTAATAAACGTGTATTAATTAGTATTTACTCATTTTATAATAAAAATACATACACTATTCCACAAATTCCTTTCTTTTGGTTGAATCTTTACTTCTTCAACTTCCTCTTCTTCTTCTTCATCATCGTCCTCTTCCTCAACATCCTCCTCCTCTTCAACTTCCTCTTCTTCTTCATCATCATCATTCACACCTATATTCCCACTATCATCTTCACATTCAAGAAGCAAAGAAGGTTCTTCTGGTTCAACATCAGATATGGAAGGAGGAGGTTCTTGTTTAATCTAGAATAATTTAAAAAATTAAGTTAAGATTATTACTAGGAAAAATGATAACTACAGATGAAGATATTTAATATTAAGACAACATACTAATAAGTTATTTAATATCATAGTAATAAAAAAAAATTACTTCTCTTTTGATGAACGGCATTACTGCTTCGGGAGAAACCATTACACATGCTTCTTTCTCTCCAAATATATCTAGTGAAGGAGATGTTCTGAGTGAGCCCCAACCACCCCAGTCATCTACGCCTCCTAGCCCAGAACCCAGGGGATCTTTAAGCTCAAGATCTAGTTCCAAAGATAATTTGATATCTCCATCCAGCATTTCATCCAGGGGTGTCAACAACTCCCCACCAACTCCAAAATACATTTCCATCCTACAATACAATCATATCATTAATGAACTTAAATTAAACATACACATTTCCATTCATGAAAATGATATTAACAGTACATGAAGAGGAAAAACTTAATTTAATTCAGAAATCAAAATCTACCTGGGGATCTATCATTAATATAATATAATAAATAATAATACATGATTAATAGTGGTTAAAAGCAGATACCTCAACAAAATACAGCAGCGGTGACATTATAACTACTAGAGCTGACAACAATAATTAAAACAGAATTACAAGACCAGTGGAATTTATTACAGAATTTCAATATATGGCACACAAACTTCAAAAGATGTATACATTAAAATGGATATTAAAAATTGTACCAACTTATTTTGACCGTACTGTTAGATAAAATTATGTTAACAAATTAAATTAAAAACAATCAACATACTGAAAAGATCAGTAATGGATCATTTCAGATAAAAAGATACAAATTCAAAACTACAATCTTGCTTTCTGACCACAAATCAGTGACATTATAAAAATATATTACAAAAGAAATCAGCAAATAAATTATTTCACAAAACTCTTTTAATTTTTTATAGTAATAAAAAAAAAATTAAACAGTAAAAAAGGAGGATCCCTATATGTATATAAAAAAAAAAATTTAATGACTATATTTCTCCAAAAAATTAAATAATTTAAAATGTATTAAGTTGAACTATGATTAATTGGGAAAAGTATGATTCATATTTGTTTTAAGTTCATTGAGTAACAGAAGGGGCCTGAGTAGTGAATATAGTCAAGAGAATCACCACCAGATCAATACTTTCAAGCCCCACCCACTTTCATCCCCACTCCTTGATAACAGTATGTTATCCAAACGCTGTGTACACATTTAATAAAACGAAAATAAAAATAAAGAAAATTATCTAATGAAAAGCAAATTTCAAGAAATAAATATAAACGCAATCACATAAAACTTTAAAATTCAGCGGTAATAAAAATATAAACGTTTTAAATTTTTAATAAAATAATTACTATAATGAATCATTATTTAAGCATGCATGCATGCAACTGACATTAACATTAGAAATATATTTCTATTTTATTCAAATATTACAAAATTGAATAAAGCATTTGATTTCCCCGGGATCACTATAATGGCGGCAAATATGGAATTATTGATAGTTACGAAATAATTCAGATAAAATTAAATTAAGATCAATCTCGGTAGAAATTAAATAATTAAGAAATTAGATGTACAATAATCCTTGAATTTAAGTGCACTGAACTTAAAAGACTCCATTAGGTTGCCAGGGGCAACGATCCGAGTAGTGTGTTGACCTTGAAGAGATTCCCGCCTAACAAAACGAAAACATCATAACCTTATCCTATTGATATTAAACTTTATCTATCATTTTTAACTACAATTTCAAGCCTAGATTACCAGGAAACCGTTTGACAGTCATAAAGGGACACAAATTGGCTCTAAAACACTTCCTAAAAAATTAGGGTTTTCACAGTTCTCTTAGCACCGACGTGTTTTCGGTTTAACAGTATGAAAAACACATCAAACATTTTTTCCAAATATTAAAATTAACTAACCTTAATAGTTGATCAGTTCTCTATGTTTTAACGACTATATTGGAGCAAAATAATGATATTACAGTAAAATACACGGGAGTCCCCTTAGTTTCGGCAGTCACAGGCTAAGATGGCGGGCTACTGAACGTTGTCCCGGGTCCCCACTCCACGATTCAAAAGTAGTGGCTCTCATTGGTCAGTTTCGGCGGTAAAGTAGTTAAATGCCTGTTGATTGGCTGTTCCGTTTACTGGACCCAAACATGTCCGCCCTACCCTCCAACCTATTATGAAGATTAACAGCAACAATAAAATTTACTAGAGGTGTTTCACTTCCCGGTCAAGAAATTTCAAAATATTAGCTGTTTCACGTATAAAATTGGAAAAAATAACGAAATAGTAACATGGACTGGTGATTCTGACCATCAATAATATTAAATATTGCCGGTATCAATAAACAAACCCCCCCACTACTTAAGTGTGTCCACCCCCTGAACTATGATATTTTAGCAATATTTTATTTTTATAATTGAATCATAATTCAATTTATAATAAGACAACTTTAAATTTTAGTTAATTTTAAAACTTTAAAGCAATTTATGGAAGTTTTTTTTCTATTGTTCAAAATATCTATCATGACCAACTGAATAGAGCTTTAGCATTTCATTAACCTTATGTACTGTTAACAAGGATTAAGAATAATAAGCATAGTGAAGACTGGTAGAGGTAGTCAGAAGTTGGATAATGTTTTAAATGAGTCAGAAAATCTCACAAAATGGTTAGTGATCTCATTGAAATAGCTATTTAGTTGTAACTAGTTGATTATACATCATGTCATTATTAACAATAACAATAGTGTTAACCACTATCCAGAATGAGTGTTTAATGTCCTATTAAGATTAGAAATTGTTAATAATTTTCGATTGGATTCATTATCATCATAGACTTCAGATTCTTGATTCAATGTTCAGTTTAGAATAAAATATGTACTAGATAGTTCTGATTTATTTTATAATTTTACTGATATACTTCTCGTTTTATTTTAGGCTCGAAATGCAGAGAAAGCTATGTAAGTATTGTTTAAGGTGTGTATGTTCCATGATTGTTATTTGTTTTATTGTTTAAATATTTTTGTTGAACAGGACTACTTTGGCTCGATGGCGGGCTGCTCAATTAGGGGAAGGTGATCAAGCCAAACAAAGAAGACCATATTTAGCATCTGAATGTACTGATCTTCAGCAAGCTGAAAAATGGAGAATGCAAATCATAAGAGAAATAGCTCGTAAAGTTTCTCAAATTCAGAATGGTATGAACTAATTTGTCATCTATAGTTCTTATTATGAATATGCATTTCACGTTAGATTGACAGGTGCATCAAGATCACATGATCAAACTGTTCTTGAAATGGTAATGTTATCGATAAGGGTATCATACTAAAAAAAATTAATAAATTGTCTTGTAAATATTTATACATTTTGTTACAAGAATTTGCCTATTGATATAATCAATTGTAATACACTTAACTGTTACATGTAATACTTACTTACTTATCCGGTGCTACAGTCCAACATGAACCTTGGCCTCACTCACGATTTTTCTCCTGTCCGATCCAATGCAGTCACTTCAACCCTTCAGTATACGGACGAGTATGACTAAATACAGAATGCATCACCCGACTGCATCTATGGTAAGACTTTATTTACCAAGAAAGGAAGATGGGAGAGGTCTCATAAACATTGAAGAGGCGTGCCGGAAACAAGAAATGACCCTCAGAGAATACTTCAAACAAAGTGAAGTACCTTTTCATAGGATAATGTGCAATCTCGACCATGGACACACAGCATTACAATTAGCCACTCCAGAAACTGCTGCATCTGTAATTTTCATGGACAATGACCGACTGGAAGAATGGAAGTCAAAAACCCTGCATGGAAGATTTTTTCACCAACTCCAACTAACTGATATAGATAAAATATTCTCTACTAGCTGGTTGGTTAAAGGGAATCTGTTTCCCATGACAAAGGGCTTTCTAATAGCAATCCAAGATCAGGTCATAGCAACGAGGTCTTACTTGCGACATGTCTTGAAGCAACAGACAGTATCAGACAAATGTAGGCTCTGTGCCAGCACGTTCGAGTCTATTCAGCACATAACTGGAGGGTGCGGAGCGCTGGCTGGTACAGAATATCTCAAGAGACATGACGCTGTTGCAAAAATTTATCATCAGGCAATTGGTCTAAAAATAAAGTTAGTGAATGTTTCAATACCTTATTATAAGTACAACCCTAAAGAACTTATCCAGAAGGAAGGAATGAAATTTTATTGGAATCAATCTTTTATAACAGATCATACTGTCCTCCATAACAGACCTGATATCGTGTTGATCAACAGTAATATGAAAACAGCAGAGATAACAGATACCGCTGTACCGAATGATGGGAACACCAACTCAGTCTGTGCCGAAAAAATACGGAAATATCAAACTCTTGCAGCCGAGTTAAAAGATCTCTACAGACTGAACAAAGTGACAGTAAGGGCTTTAGTGATCTCCAGCAATGGGCTGATTCAAAAATCCACTGTAGAAGCCATCGAGAAGTTGGGCCTATCAACAGCTACGATAAATAAAGGCCAGAAAGCTGTGCTGCTGAACACTGCAAGAATAGTAAGGAGCTTCCTTAATATCCTATAAAACTGCAAAAATTAACGTGAAGTGGTTGAAGTTAATTCTTCCCCACTCCAGGAAAATACCTTTTTATAAAGTGATAAAAATAAATAATAATAAAAGGCTTAGCAAACCTGAAATAGAGATTCATAATGGTATTGTAAACAGATACAAAACTATTGTAATCTGCATATGAAGAAATAGATCAAGAGAACTAAAGAACAAATACATATATAGGTCTCTTCAATTGATTTCTATGTTCCTCCATCTTAACGACATGGCCGAACTATTTCAATTGGCAAGTTTGCAAAACCTTCCATAGGGCGATCTCAAGTTCCTGTCATATTTTCTGATGGCGTACATGGTTACTCCTATTCTCTCTGGCCTTTCTTCTTTTTGGGTTTTCCCGGGCCAGGGGGTGTAGGCGGGGATTTAAAAGAGCCCCAGCACCGGCCAACTCGTGAATATTTTAAATCCATTGTCTCATATATCAGGTTGCCGGGCAACGGCAGTGCTGTGCACACACGTTAGCCCGTTCGGCCACCCCGCCCACAACCCCTAACTAAATACTGCACGTAATCTCAATTAGACTGACTACATTATTTTTTCTTCCAGTGTAATAAGCACTACCCCTTTTCTCATGGCTACACCTTGGTCAGGTTAGCCTATAAAGATGTTGAAGATAATGAAGAAAGTAAAAAAACATAAATCTAATTTAAATTTGATAATTTTTACATTTATATTATTAATTAGCAAAATTTTTATATTGCACCAACGTGCTTTGATTTAATTTTCTAAAAGGTTACTTAATGAGTTTTCACAATAAACCAGTTCTATTGGCTTTAAAAAAAAATCATATTGTTTCAGCTGGTCTTGGAGAGTTTAGAATTCGTGATTTAAATGATGAAATCAATAAACTACTGCGAGAAAAAGGGCATTGGGAAGCACAAATTCGAGAACTTGGTGGTCCAGACCACTCAAGGTCTGGGCCTAAAATGCTGGATGCTGAAGGAAAAGAAGTGCCAGGAAATAGAGGCTACAAATACTTTGGTGCAGCAAGGCAACTTCCTGGTATATAAGCACTTATTTATTTTATTGATTAACAAATGTATTCACTTTTATTTTGAAACGTTAGTTTTAAGTTCTGATGAGAAATAGTTTTAAGGGGAATCTTAATAGTTAACAGTAAAAATTATAATTATTTTCTTTAAAATGACTTTTCTAATTTCAGTTCATTGCTTCTGAAAACAGGTGTGGAAAGCCATTTGGTTTTAAAAAGGCAATTGGTTGCCATAATATTAATTTAGAAACAAGATGTATGTTTCTGCTTCATCGTGTATCAGGTATGTTTAAAAAGTTGAAGGAAAGGCTGTTTTCTTGGTAAATGCAGTGGAATCCTGATAATTCGTATTGTCTAGCTTATCAGAAGAACTATTAAGCTTATCAATAATCGAGAGTAAAAATAATTACAGACTTGCTTATCATGGGAGTGCTTAATTTTCAGATTGATCCATGTTGGCGGCCAACAATATTGTATTTGTTCTTTACAATTTTTCCCTCAAAATAATCAAGGAGACACTTGTAAAATACATAATCTCATCTAAAACATTTCTATATTCGTAAGAATTGTCTTTTCTCCCAATTTATCTTTTTACTTTTAAAAAACATCTGTAAACTTGACCATACTTTCTCATTTTAAATTTTTTGTTCTTGAAACTATAAAACCATCAGTTTCTCATAAATATTTAATCCTTTTTTTTACTGCAAAGATTTTGCAATTTAAATTTTTTTCTATTCAAAGATGTAGTTTTTCTCTTATTTTCAAAATTTATGTTTCATTTAGGTAAACGCTTTGACACATCCATATTTTTTATTTTTTTATTGCCACCCTCAACTTTAATTATTTTTTGTTTTTTCTAATTGGAAGATATTTCTTAAGCCTTCACAAAGACATTTTCAAAATCAAACTGAAAGAAACATCACTGTATAAATAAAATAAAAATAATTTTAAAAAAGTACTAGATTAGATTAAAAAAAAAAAAGTCTGAATAAACCAATTTGTATTAACTATTCCCTCCACTCACTCTCCTCTCCATCTCCTAAAAGCAATACAAGTTGACCTTATTGTACTTGGTAATTCGCATTCTAAGACGTATTCATTACTTTAAAGACAAAAGCAAATATAAATTACTAATGAGAATAGATTGCATTTTTTTTACATGAATCAAGGAGAGATTTTCTTGTGACCAGCAAATTTGTAAAAATAATCAAAATATATCAATTCACGGCGTACGATATTACGGGATTCTACTGTGTGGAATAGTTGTACTAATTGAGCTGGTCATGCTTTACTTATTCATTATTATTTTTTCAAGATTTTAGACTATCAAATAATCAGTCAAGTTGACTTAAAAACAAAACAATATAGCTAAGTTTTAGTTATGAGCTGACGTTTCCAATTTGTTAACTTGTAATAAAAATTTGACTGTATTGTTCTGTTCTTTTAAGTCATGTTGCTTGATTCTCTGGAATCTTGATATAATTAATCACGATCGATCACCCATCTTATCTTTGTTTATTTAAAAGAAAAAATATGTTGCACACATCACACAACTTTCACTCACTGCTGTATTTTGAACAGAAATTATTGTCTGGGGAAATTGAGCTATTACAAAAAGTTTTTAAAGTTCATTTTTAATATAGTTAAACCTTTAAGAACAAAGGGTGTGGGCTACAAGAGAAAAGGGCAGCTAAGAGCACAATGAAAGGACAAAGTGTTGGAGGATAGGCGATGGACAGAATATCCATGTGGTGGAAGATAGAGGCCTATGATAGAATATGTAGAATCAGGCCAATGACAACTTTGGTGTTTGGTGCTAGAAGAAGAATAGTAGATAGAAATAATCGAGTCTTCTGCATACATATCTATTTTAAAAGTTGGTGTTGGATTTTTATAATGTTTAAATACAAACTATTCCTTTTTACTTTCTTTTTATTGTTTGGCATTCATAATTCTTCAAAATTCTCCAATAAAAGTGTCATTGTAAATTTAAAAAAAATCTTAACATCAAATAATGCTTAAAATTATAGATCATAATTTCCCTTTTTCGAACATATTTGTTTTTTTATAAAATTGATTTGTCGTTGAATTTTTATAAAATTCAACAACAAATTAATCTTGGTGATTTACATTTATCAAAATTGAATATTTAAAAGTTAATTTTGTGGTTTTCCATAGCAAAGAGATAGGTAAATAAGATATATTTGCTGGCCCTGTAACACAGTCATTCGCCATACATAACATATATGTATTTTTGGGGTTTACATAATTATGATCCTTGTTCATACATATCATATAGGAATGTTCTATTGTTTGGTTAAAAATGACTTAGAATAGTCATAAATCATACTTATCCGCTTCTTGGAAATTTAGTCCATCCGTATCTTCTAACGGCTTAATAGAGTGAAGGAGGGTTTTTACCCATATCTACCACTACCCCAAAAATTATTTATATTCATCTTTCTCTGTCCTAGTTTAGGCTATTGTATGTATTGTTGTGTACATATTGTCTGAGTGAGGAAGTAGGAGTGATATTGCAACTCAAGATGTGTCAAAATGAAAACCCTTGTTTTGTTTTTGTTTTTGCTTCGTATATCATTGAAAATTTTGTTTACTAAATAAATATTCTGCATCATGCATGATCAGCTCAAAGTAAAAAAAAAAATGTAAAAAGTCTTTTTAATACAACTTGGCTTTCTACTCATATTATTTACTCTGTGGATGTTATGTTATATTCATATAATGGATGGGCATGTTTTACCTATGAGAGTACAGATAAGCCAGAGGAATCTGTCCTACATCGCAGCTGCACTATCTATGATGCAACCGCTGAATATTCATTTAAATTTCTGTATTAGGGAGTTAAATATAAAAAAAAAATTGATATATTTCATTTTCGTATTTTTTTATAAACTTTATCGATATATAGGGCCTTGATATTTTTAATCTTCAACCTTTTAGCGATGATGAGTGAGAAAGGAGGAGCGATCTTGAGAGTGGCATTAGCTAACAGTTCTCCGTGCCCTTGTGATGGAATACTTATCGTCACCTCTACTCTCCACTTTAGCCTTTTTATTTAGGGCATCGTTCCAAACTTTTTATTTTATTTTTTATAGAATTAAATGAGTCAAAAACTCATTAAAAATATATTGAAATATTTAATTATATTAGCCTGATTCTGGCTTGACTCACATATAAGTCCAACATCGTCTGAGCCAGATTCGAGGGTTGAAGAATAGGGATGTAAATATCGAAATATCTGGGTATAATATAAAATTGGAACCTCAATTATCATTCCTCTGATTCACCATCTTTCTCCAACCCTGAAGCTGATCAAAAAGCATTGCAAATTTTTATACAATTGTTTATTATTTCATTATGATCAGGTGTGACCACTCACGCTATATCTCCTGACAGCTTTAGTTGCAAAATCCAATATATATATATTTTTTTTAATTTGTAGGTAATTCTTTTTTATATGATTAACAACAAAATTTATGATTAATAGTATTATCAAATCTTGTGGAGAAAAAAATCACTAATAAGTAAGTGATATGTAATAAGACCTACACTAATAAAAGTTTGTGCAAAATTTGAGCCAGCAACGTCTGTGGTATTTCTAAGCAACCTTTCCAGTATCGAATGGGGAAATAGTTTTTCAAACACGCTCCTCCCTTCTCCTTCCTCGTTGTGGAAGAAGAAAAAGTGTGCTTAGGAGGTTTCTGAAAGGATGGTTAGATCTGCTAAAAATGATGTAATAATAATGTAAAAGCTGAGAAAGATAGAAAAATCTTTTCACAGGCAGAAGTTGGATAAATGTTGGATGAAGTTAGTGTTGATTTTCTTAGATCACTCCAAGGCAGAATCTTAGATGACTCCTTAAAACTTTACTTTTTTCATTATAATTTTTAGAATAGTAGTTTTTAGTTTCCCATGAGAATGAATCTTTTCTTAACATATTAAGAGAAGTTCCTCAGAGGTTTTATTAATGTGTATCAATCCTAAGAACAAAGAAAAATCGTATCTCGAAGATATGGCAAATATTTTTTTTTAAATTTTGGAGCATTTGAAAATTCCTAGCTATTAAAATTACAAACATTAAAATATTGAGAAATGTTTTACGAATAGTAATTGACGTATTCTGTTATAGGAGTTAGAGAGTTGTTTGAGCAGGCTCCTCCTCCACCTCCGCATAAGACACGTGGGGAACTAATGAGAGATATTGATGCCTCTTATTATGGTTATATGGACGACGAAGATGGAATCATTATACCACTAGAAGAAATTGAGGAAACTAAAGGTATGAAATTCATAGGTACTTGGCGTTTACATTTGTCAAATAATAGTTTATCATATGTGATTTATCATAACGTTTTAGCTATTAAAAAAGCTGTAGCAGAATGGACTGTAAAAAAGGAAAAATCAATGGAAATAGACGAAGAAGAAAAAGAAGAAGTCGAAGAAGATAACATCTACAAAGCAGCAGGAAATAAAGAGGTTTAGAGTCTTAAATAATTATCACAATAATAATTCTATTCGTTATTATTTCATTATATTTATGAATGTTTGAATATTTGCAGGGCGGAGAAGATGATGAAGAGGAAGATGCAGGGGAAGACGATGGGTTTGAACTGAGTGCTAAGTTACTGGAAGGGTACAGAGCTCATATTCCTGTTCCTTCACAAAGAGAGGTGGAAGCCGCAATTCTTGAAAGGAAAAAACAAGAACTTCTGGAGAGATATGCTCTCTAGATTGATAAGTGTAATTTTTATTACTTTTTGTCAAAAATATTTATATTTGCAGATTTTTAACATCCTCATAAACTGGAAATGTTCTGTGTAATATAATCTAAATTGAAATTTGTAAAGTTTCATTTTCTGTAGGCCCATAGAAATTATGATCAATAAATTATACATTTTTTGGATTTAAGGGAAATATTATTAATGTACATAGTTCATAAAATGCATATATTTTCTATTGGAATCAAATATATTTACAATTTATTTTTGATAGTATGAAATGTGTTTTGAACTGAAAACCATGTTTTCTTTTATGCATTATTTTAATTGTACAGATTGTATAAATATGTGTATATTATTATTTAAAATAATATTTGTTTTGTTTTTTAATCTGTAAATAAAAAAAGTTTTCTATAAGTTTTTTGTTGCAATCCTTGTTATTACTGAATCAGTTGGTGAGCTCCTTTGCAATTCTTCCTCACTAATATTGTATTCTTTTTGAACAGCCTTTAGGTCTACTAATGTGCCAAGCTTCTCCAAATTTATTATGTTACCATTTATCTGAAATAAAATAATATAGCATTAAATAATGATTTCATATTAATCATTCCAGTATGCTACTTCGAAGGGGCAATTCCCTATTTAAATTTACAAGAAAAGAGGGCGATCAGAGACCTCCATTGAAGAAATAATAAAAAACAAAATTACTTATTGGTTTGTGTCATATGGTCAAAATGAGAGAACCCAAGATAACAACGGAAGCTAGATTTATAGATCACAAAGCCACTACCTGGAAAGTTTAGATTATTTGCACAATGTTTTTGAAGGTGCTGAACACAAATTTTAGAGTCAGCCACCTCAGTTTATTCTCAGCTAGAAACTTATTTTGAATAAAAAATGTGAAAAATTGAGTTTTACCCATTCTTTGCTAAATATCATGGAAACTAGAGTGAAAAAAAAATGTACATATCTTTATTAAATTGTAGTAAATTTACTAAAATTAGAGCTCTATTAAGTTTACTAGTTCCCAAGATGCAGTTTTTCAAAACAATCGCTATCCATACAAATTTAAAATGAATTTAACTAGCTTCATTTTGAGCGCTGATAGACACTTGTATGGCCAATAGTCTCGGATATATTTTATGTTTGCGTTGAATCGTTAAAATGTTTTTAATGATCCATCAAAGTCAAAAAAATGTCCAATAGTAGCCATTTTTTAATTTAATGAGTTATCGACTGCATTGATAACATTAATTAAATTAAAATAAATAATTAAGTTATTAACTCTTGATGTAAATAAGAGTTAATTATAGGATTTTGTTAAAAGAACAAAAATTGTTATATTACAAAATAAAACCTTATATATTACCAGAATCAATCCTTGGCAAATGAATAATTCTGTAAAATCTCTAACCAAACGAGTGTATTTTCATGACCAGATTTAGCTTAATCAATTATAATGATAATCTTATGGTAGACAATCTAACTGGTAACAGCTATACATACATTATAAGAGAACAAAGCAATGGCAAACAGCTTGCATAAAAAATACTATTCAATTTTTTAATTACTATTAGAACTTTGTTAAGGCTGTTGCTACCCCTTAGCAATATTTTTTCATTTTAATCTGAATCATTGAATGGCATGTACAATTTAAATCATACAAATACTTTTATAAACAAAATATTTCCTCGCTAGCCATAACAGTTAGCTTGATAGTGAGGTATTAGTTAAAAAAAAAAAAAATAATAGTAATAATTTTAAGATTAATTCACCTTAGGCAGTTCTGCTTTCAAATCTTCCTCAGAACCAATAATAGCTATTAACGCGTTGGTATCATTTTCCTGCAAACCAAACTTCACCAAAGATTTGCTAATATGTTTTGATACTGACAAGTTATACAATAACTCAGTGTTAATATTTCTAGTTACTAGTTTATTACGAGATCGAGCAAGGCAAGCTTTATCAGCTGCAACTGCTATTTGAAAAGGATCTACAACCAGAGATGGTGTTATACAACAACACCTTATAGACTGTTCCATAATTTTCTTTTTTATTTCCAAATTTTCAGTAATATTGGATAGTAAGCATATAGACAGAATCTCTCCTGTACCTAACTTGTAACTTCTGAACATATTGAAAAAATTGAAATAGTTTCAGGAAAAATATTTTAAGATTAGTTAAAAATTCTCTTTTAGGGAACTAAAAAAAAATAATTGCTTTCAATCTTTAGCCTTCCATGGTAGTGAGAAGAGATTATTTCAAAAATTAAACAAAACTGTTTACTTAGCACCTATTCCGCTATAACCTCCTCCTAATATAACGCATTGGTTGCAAGGAGGTAGAAGTAAAAAAAAATATGAAAAAAAAGAACAGTGATTTATTATCTCTTTGACAGGAATCCACTCTGTTGTCCTATTTTCCATGAAGGTAATAGGATTTTGTACTGTATCAAATGTCATCAGAAGGAGGAATAATTTATTATATTATTATATAACTATATAAGACGGCGAGGTCTGAAGGATAATAAAAAACAGGGAGCTCTATAATGTCTTTAAGGATGATGACTTCGTATGGGTTGTATAGCTTCTCATTTTTTTCCTAACCTTCATCACCAATAAGGCTTTACGGGGTTTTCCCCTCAGGCCTGGGAAGAAGACAATGTCCCCTGGCACCGGAGTTTAAACTAGTAACTTTCAGTTTATCAGGTTGCCGGACATAGCGCATTTCACACACTCGTCAATCCGCCCACCCCCAAATAGGTCATAAAGCTGAAACAAATTCGCTATGCCGGACTTGTGGCTCGGTTGGGGACTCCGAGACCCAAGTAAAGTAGCTACTTAAGAGTAGCACCGATGAAGGAGATTAGGATAAGATGGTTGGATGGTGTAAAAGTGGATGCAAGAAACTTACTGAACACCAGGAACTGGACTGCTGCAGCCCAGGACAGAGCCGTCTGGTGGGATGTTGCACCTATTATGTGGTCACTTATTTATATATGTTAGCTCTATATTTGGGCTCTTTCAGTGGCCCTCTTCGGATCAAATGATTCGGTTGTTTTTTTGGCAGAACAATGTCATAAAAGTGGGGGTAAATTTTGTTTTAAATCTTGCTCGTCTAAACGTTTATTCCTGGTTTTAAAGAGGTAAACTGGAAATGTTCTGTGTAATATAATCTAAATTGAAATTTGTAAAGTTTCATTTTCTGTAGGCCCATAGAAATTATGATCAATAAATTATACATTTTTTGGATTTAAGGGTAATATTATTAATGTAAATAGTTCATAAAATGCATATATTTTCTATTGGAATCAAATATATTTACAATTTATTTTTGATAGTATGAAATGTGTTTTGAACTGAAAACCATGTTTTCTTTTATGCATTATTTAATTGTACAGATTGTATAAATATGTGTATATTATTATTTAAAATAATATTTGTTTTGTTTTTTAATCTGTAAATCTGTATATTATGTTTGACGGTGAGATAGCAGCGATCCTCATAGCCCTAAGAACACTATCAGGAAGGCAAGTTCAGAACGCTGTTCTCTTTGTCGACTCGCAAGCAGCAATCTTCGCCATTACTGACGTGAATAAATGTATGTCGAGTGCTATCTTGGAGTGCAAATCCCTTCTCTACGATCTAACACTCCGAGGCACCAATGTGGTCCTTCAGTGGATTCCGAGCCATTGCGGTATTCCAGGAAATGAGGAAGCGGATAGTCTCGCCAGGAGGGGAGCAGAATTGCCACAAACAGTCCATCCAAAATCCTACGATTCAATTCGGTGAATGGTGAGGATGATAGTGAAGGAGGAAACAAAAAATATGCACAAAGACAAGGTGGAAGGGAAACGTTATGGATGTTTGATGGAAAACCCGATCTCAGCAGACCTACCAAGAAGAGATGCAGTAGTCTGCTTCCGCCTGGCCACTGGTCACGACTATCTACAAAGTCATCTCCACAAGTTAGCCGTGGCTGAGGATCCTAGATGTAAATTATGTAAACAAGCGGAAATGGATGCAGACTACCTAAACGAATGTCCTGCTTTGACGGATATAAAGAATCAAACATATGTAAATGATTGCATACAAAAATCAAAATTATATTGGGCAGCAAGATTTTTTTTTTTTTTTTTTTTTTTTTTTTTTTTTTTTTTTTTTTTTTTTTTTTTTTTTTTTTTTTTTTTTTTTTTTTTTTTTTTTTTTTGTTATTCCCTACCTCGCCTTTTAGGCTATACGGGATTTTCCCGGGCCGGGGGGTGAGGGCGGGGAATTTAAAATCCCCTCCGGCACCGGGACGCGAACTCGTACTTTTTATATCATCTCAAATCTCTATTATCCGGTTGCCAGGCAACTAGCGGTGCTGTTACACACGCTTTAGCCTATTCGGCCACCCCGCCCTCATTGGGCAGCAAGATGTCGAATGACCAATGACTATGGCATAGGAAGAAAAAAAAAAAAAAAAAAAAAAAAAAAAAAAAAAAAAAAAAAAAAAAAAAAAAAAAAAAAAAAAAAAAAAAAAAAAAGTTTTCAAGAGGTGCACCCCTATAGCTCTCCCATATTTATTTAGAGGTTGAAAGTTGGGCAAATTCCTTAACTAAGCGCTGAGCTCATCGATGGTATCTGGAATCCATCAGTTTCTAAACTCATCGATGAAATTCGGGACGTTCCTTTATTCATCGATTAAATCACACATGGTTCATCGGTTTCATTGGCTTTTGAGGTCGATGGATTCACTGGATCTAAATTCATTATAGCCTCATTGTTGACTAATTTATTTTACATATTTATATTCAGTCTACTTTCTATCTATATTTATTTCTATTTTGAAATAAATATGTATTTATCGTAGATAGGTATTCCCTTATATTTTTCAAATGTTTTGTAACAATCTCCTAGGAGTGTTAACCTTCCACCGGCATCCAGCAGATCAACATTACATGGTTGAAATATTTGGGGGAGAGGGATTACAAAGTAGTATTTTCACGTTATTCAGAGAAAACGGGGAGTGGTTGTTAGAAAATTTAAAAGATAAAATTATGTTAGTTTGTGTGATGAGCAATGAATCGGACAGTAATTTTTCCAGCCTTCGCATCATAATATATTCTGCCGGTTGCTCCATTTATAGTTGAGAACAATTGACGCATTGTTGTTTAAAGTTTCTTTGAAAATAGGATTATTGAGTTGCGGTTTTGAAGTCAATATATTAGTCCGTGGTACAGACCCCTTTTTATCAAATTGTTAACCTCCGCCTGTAACTTCGTAAATAGCTTTATCATATCGTAACCTAAAACTATATTATTTAAGAAAATTCTCGGAGTTAGGTTGATTTCAGTCTGAAGATCGGCAAACTTTGTCTATTTAATTAGGTACTAAATCTCGTAAATACCCATTTGCTTTTCACTTCATTCGAAAGATAATTTGAGCATATAATCGAGAAAAAAGGTGGCCTTCTAAAATATTGATCCGTATGGCTTCTATTCAAAATAACGATGTTGAACAGGCTAAACGGCCCAATATTTTTGCAGGCTACCTTTTTCTCTCTATTATGTGATCAAATTAAGTTTTAATCCAAGTGGATGATGCCAAGCGTGCCAAAAAGCTCTGACCAAAAATTCTTTCAATACTGCTTCATTTATTTATTTAAACACATAAGTTAGAGTCTGTTATTAAAATAATCAAATATACAATGTAATCTATATTTTTTCTAAAACATAATGATTAAAAGAAATGCAAATGTAATCATCTTCAGGTTTGTTCAGTAATAAAACAAAATCTTATTTTTAATTTTTATTATATAAATTAATAATTATAAATAAATTATTATCAAATAACATCGTTGGATTTCGTGAAAAATTTTATCTCAATTTACACATAGTTTTGGAGTATAGTTATCTTTAGTTTATATCAACAAAATACTTAGTTTTATAATATTACATTATTATAGATTGTATGTTGATGTAAAATATTTAATGCTTGATACAGGCACAGTTATGATAATAAAATGGTGGCCTTCATATTTAAGAAAATATCGTTTCAATAAAATAATAAATACACAGAGTAATAATTAAATTACTAAATAGTAACTATTTCCATATACAATTAATGAAATATTTTGTTACAAACAGTATCTTATATACAGCAAAGTCTCTTAGCACTATAACTTCGATTCGTCTTTAAATGCTGGATTTTCTTTTCCTTCGAAAATTTTTCCTACTTCTGCTAACGATTTTCCTTCAGTTTCTGGAAGAAATGCGATGGTTCCTAGAGCTCCTAAGCAACTGATGCATCCATATAGTGTTAGTGTTCCTAAAAATAACATTTTATCTATGTATATATTTCTCTAGTGACAAACTCTCTTTAAATATTTAAAAAGAGTAGGTTATATAAATTAAATAAATTATTTGTAGTTAATATTGAGGGTATTTCTATTCGCTCATTGTTCGAAAAGAATGCGTTGTAGATAAATAAAACTTTTTAAGTACTTAATCTACTACTTTGGTCTTTATGCAAACATAAAATATCCATCAAGCGGTCTGAGCAATATGGCTGTTCAGGACGTCTTTCACGTTTTAAGCCTTCCCGGAAAGACCAAAAAACATTGTATGCTAATGGTTGATTCCGAATATTTTAAATAATTACTTTTTCTAGTTCTTTTCAATATTTATTAAAATACAAAATATCCAGAACAAGCTACGCCCAGACGTTTTCTATTTTTTCAAAGAAACTAAGAGAGTTTTTAAATGAGCTCTCTAGGAAAAGTGTTTACCAACAACGCTTTTTGTGTATTTTGGTTTATTCAAGTCACGTTGTGGTAGAAAATTTCGGCCATTTGCCAAACTTGGCAATTGAGCGTAACACGCGTATGTTTGTTTTATTGCCATGATGTAAAGTTAAGATACAAATTATTTCGCGAATTCTCGGTAATGGCTACGCAGAAGTTCAAGAACCTCTATATCACTGCAAGTTGGTCATCTGCCCAGGGAATAAGTACTTACGTTTTTTTAACCATTCGTCTCGTACGTTTAAATTCAACTTAATCCCATATTCCATCCTTATTTAAGACCAAATACAGACATTTATTTTGTGATCCCTTTCCGACACAAATTTAAAAATCAATGAGTTCCTAGATTAATATATACCTGGAAGACCTAGCCATGAATGCAGATATATGTAAGATTTGTTCGCCGCAAATCCCATAAGATAGCCAGTGCCTCCTGACAATCCACTAGCAGTTCCTCGGACTTCAGCTGGGTAGACCTGCAATACAAAACAAAAATCCTTCATTTTTTAACAATAAACACTTAATATTATATATATATATATATATATATATATATATATACATATCATCTCTTTGACTGATTTTAGTTGGCGAACAAATTTTGAAAGATCCAGCCTAAGCAAAAATTTCATACAAAAAATTTTAATGTTTCAATTGCTATCAAAATTCGTATTTCGTTTGTATATCTGTAATATAATATAATATATATATATATATATATGCATTTCTATATTTTGTTAAATAACCTATAGGTTTTAACGGAAAATTTGCATTTTTAAGTTTTTCAAAGTGAAAGAAATGAATCTCACAAATATATATTTACCCCCACGTCATTAGGCCAAATTTATTCCCACACGATAGCTATCAGCCAAATATAATGTTTTTTTCCAAACCGAACGGGTATCTAGAATAAAGAATTTTGTTGGGAAAAATAAAGGTGACATTCGTTTTCGCACCCCGAGAAACTTTAAAATAAGACTTTTCATAGCAATAGAAACATTACAATTTTTCACATAATAGTTTTGCCTAGGCTGAACCCTTCGAAATTTTGTTGCTAACCAAAACAATTGGGATAACTTCAGAAAGACTCCTCCGATCCACACGAAAATTATTAGGAGATTGAAGCTCTGTTACACAAAATGGCATAAACGCGACATACGTCTAGAAATTAGAACCAAAGATATAAATTATGCTTGAGAAGTTTTTCTAAATTTCTAGTTTAAAAAAGAATGAATTCCAAAACGTATAGATGTGGTTTGAAAGAGCGACAATGCAGTATTCTAAAAGTTGTACTTACATTGAATTTGGATGAAATCTTAAGAAATTATGCAAGCTTTAGTTCTCAGTTGGACACTGAGATTGTAGAATATTTAAATAAAAACGGACGTAATAATTTTGCAATTTATCGCTCTAAAACCACTACCCTACCTTTAAATAATAAACGGGGTATTTTAATTCCATTGACGTGTATTCTAATTTTATAAAAAAAAAGTTAATCCTGCTATTTACCGCTTTTTGAGAGTAAATCATATGATAATTTATGCTTAATATACATTAATAAGAAGTGTAAATATTACGGTTTCTACAACTTTATTATCCTGTACATATTTAATTGCGTGAATACTCAACCAACCCCGAACATAATAACGGCATAAATAAACGATATAATATAACTAATTGGCGTTAAAAAAAGTATTATTTTTTTGTTACTCAAATGAAATTATATATTACTAGTAATTTTAAATATTGTCCATTCATGGTATGTATTCAACAAGCCGAAGCGAGTAAAATGTATATGTTGCATCGCATTAAGTATTTTTATAAATTTTTAGCATATTTGTATATTTTAAATTATAGATTTTAAGAAAAATTACTTTAAATATGAATATTTTTATATTACAGACATTTGTCGAGGTGTCCATAAGTACTTCGTCTATACCAAAATAAAATGAGAACATACGAAAGATAAGAAGTTTATATCGAAAGTATTTTAACATGTAAACAAGAAATTCGGTGAATTTTGTGATAGTACATTCATACATATCTAATTAGATTTAACAAGGAGATCTAAATTTTATTTTATTTCCCTACTAATTTTTTTTTTTTTTTTTTTTTATTCAGAATTTAAATTATTGTCTAAACATGTTCAAAAGAAATTATTTAATTTAATTTAATTTTTGTTTGTGATGGCTATAAAATAAGACAAATAAAATCTATAAAGAGAGACAAACTCTTTATTTTCATATAAAATATAAAATATAAAATATAAAAGCTTGCTGGCCAATTATATTCCTGTCCTCACCTCCTGACGCGGGAAATCCCCGTATAGCCTAAAAGGCGAGGAAGGAGAGGACAAAAAATAAAAATCTAAGGTGTGTGATTTATACCACAAGATAGAAGTGAAAACATCAACAAGGCGAGATTAATAATATTAAATGTAAATTATAAATAATAGCTCATTATAAAGAGGATGAAATGCTGAACATTTCCTATGCAAACAGTACTATGCAGTTTCGATATTTAGTTTCTGAGATATTTTAATCCATATCTTCCATAAAACTCGTTATCGTTAGTTTTTGACATATTTTTTTCCCTTTTGTATATCTCTATCTCGGCGTCGCGTTAAGATACAATTTTGAATAATAGCTCATTACAAAGAGGATGAAATTGAGAACATTTCCCTCGCTAACAATATGCAGCTCCGGTTTTTAGTTTTTGAGATATTTTAATCCATATGTAAAAATGATATTAAAGACCATTTAATTATACAATGATACACCGAGTTTAATCAAAATCGTTAGAGCCGTTTTTGAGAAAATTGTAAAAATGTTTTTCAGCGTCGATATAAAGTGGCACTTTCGGTTAGCCGGTAAAGGTTGTTTTTAGGTTGATTGTTAGTTTTAAGGAAAAGGTTGCCGTCACATCTAAGGCATATACCTATCTTAAATACGTAATATCAGTTTCGTATGACTTTTCGTTTTCGTGTTCACATACGCACAGTCCATTTTTCGGGACTTGATAATTTGGACTCAGGCTACTCCAAAACGTGTATTTCCATTGAAAACTCAGATTCAAAAATGTCCATGATCGCAATAGTTACCCTTACTGCACATTACATATATACGTAAGTGAAAGTAAAAACACATCAATTAGTCGACTCCTAATGACTGTATCCGAACGTTAAACATCGGAGATCTGACTGCTCAATCTAATTCACTCTTCAATAATGAAAAATAAATTTAAAAAATCCGTGCGAGGATAGATCTGGAGTTCCAAAATTATTGAATGAAACATATCCCTCAGGTATCGGAAAGAAAAAAAATTCTCGTGTCAGCTCAAGCTTAATCAGAAACATGGTAAATATATTTTATGAAACCGTGAACACTGTAACAAAATTGAAAATTTAACATTTCTTTTCAAAGAAGATGAATAGCAATAGGATATTCAGTCGAAATCCTGAATATATATTTTTTTTTATCTTTAACTGTTTATCCGTACCTGTAGCAGATGTGTTGTTGGCATAATGAGGTTCGCATTATAGGCATGAGGAAGGATAGTACCCAGCAGTCCCTCTTTCTGGTCATTAATTTAATTTAGGCGAGGAGATCTCTCATCCAGCTCCTTTTTAGTCTCTTCCTGATGGGCATGTCAGTCGTAGCCATGTCGTTTATAAGCCTGTTTGTGTGTCCGTGTAGCTTGAGATGAAAACGAGAGTAGAGAGTACGTATGTGTTGGTCGATAGTTGGTTGTCGTAAGTCGTTATGTAAAGTTTTGTTGTTGACATACCAGGGAGCCCTGTTATAAGTCGTAAAATTTTTTAATTGAAATGACTGTAGTTTTTTAAGTGCGTCTTTTTTGTCGAACCGTAAATCTGAGAGGCGTAGGTCCAGATGGGTTTGAGTAAGTGTATTTAGTTTTTGTCGAACTTTCAATTTCGATTTAGAAAAAAGTGAGTACAGTATTCAATCGCTTGTTTAAGGTCTGTCGTTTCATTTTGACGTGTGGGCCCCAGGTCATCCTTCTGTCGAATATTAGTTTACGTACTGTGTATTGTACAAAACACTTTAGATATACCACTACCTTTGACACTACCACCTCTTTCGTTTACTCCTTCACAAGTTGCACAACAAATCAAACATACACCCAAAAGAAAAGCCCCAGGTTATGACTTAATAACTGCCGAGACGCTCCAGCAAATGCCCAGGAAAGCACTAGTGTTACAACTGTATTCTGAGGACAACTAAATTCCCACTACAATGGAAATATTCACACATCAAAATGATACACAAAAAGGACAAAGACATTTTCAATCCCTCATCCTACCGATCGATAAGTCTTCTCCCAGTATATCCTAAACTTTTCGAAAAATTAATATACAAAATATTGGTTGACATACTGACGGAGCAAAATATAATTCCTAACCATCAATTCGGTTTTCGTAGGTTCCATTCGACAACACAACAATTACACAGGGTTACTGACTACATTGCTGGAGCACTAGAGCAAAAACAATACGCAACCGGCGTATTTCTGGATGTTGCCCAGGCATTCGATAAAGTCTGGCACCAGGGACTTCTCTTTAAACTCAAAACACTATTACCTGAATATTTATCTTTAACATTTATAACTTTTATGTATCTTAACATAATGTTAATCATTGATGAGACAGCTGTTTTTGCTGTATCTAGAGCCAATGTTACCTCGCCGATGAGCATCCAAGGCAGCAGCCGAATGGCGGAGTGCGTGAAGAAAGCAGTTAGGAGGAGGCCGTAGAGGGAGAAGTGGCCTCGTCCGAACTCGTAGAAGTTGCCGGCTCCTACCAGAATGAACACGATACCAGCCACCATCGAAGTGGACACTGCTAGTTTTCGCCTCCCTGTTGTCGTATCATTTAAGGAGATATTAATTAGTTAACTCATCAAGGCAAAATAATATTAAATTTTAATGAATTCTACAAGAAATATTGCATGAGGTTTATATTTTAGTTTACAATAAGCTAAAATAATGTTAATGCATTTAAAAAATAATATTCTTGCCTCCACATGCTTTTAATGATAAATAGTCCGTGGTGCAGAAGTTTTTTTTTTTTTTTTTGGTCAGTTTATTTTTGTTTAGTTTAGTATCTTTTACTACATACATTTACGTTTAGTATTATTTTATTGATGTTTATTACTTTTATTTATTGTGCATAGTATGAATGAGCTACTCTTTATCACTATTAGTATTGTCCTTGAATGTGACAGATTGTAATATATCTCAATAAAGAATAAATAATAATGGAAAAAATTGTAAATAGGTATACCTGCATCTAAGATGATTATTTTCATTACTTTTTTTTTTTTAAAGGTAATTTTAATTCTATTTTATTAATTTATTTTTATTCTATTATTACAATTATTTATATTTTCTTACTTCACTATGATATTTTATTTTGTTCTTTTATAGCTTTATATTATTTGAAATTAGCTTATTTATTTTTTATTTTTTAATTTGTAAATATGGTGTGAATGTGCTCTCAGAACTCTATTATAAATGTCCTTTATTGAGACAGATTGTATTATTTATCAATAAACAAATAATTCAAAATAAAAAAAAAATAATGGAAAAAAATTTTTGGTCGATTACGATGGCTTATTTTTAAAAATAATAAATAAAAAAATTGTTTTCTGTTGACTACGAATTAGTGTAGATTACGAACGATTTCTACGTGTTAAAATAGTATGAGCATTTAAACGTATTTATTTTCCAAAGGGACGGTTTAGAAAAGATTATTTTAGACTTAATAATTACTCGTTATAATATTCTAAATCTTGGAATCAAATTGAATCAATAGGCAATAGTCACTGATACAGGCCCCTTTTTATCAAATTATTAACATCCTACTTAAAAATAGTGTTCAGAGATCATATTCACACTATATGTACAATAAAAAAATAAATTATACAGAAAAATAATATATGTAGAATAAATTAGTATAAAATAACCTAAAAATAAATAAATAAAAAAGAACACATAATATGTGTAGGTTCTAAAAACTCGTAAATACCCATTCGCTATCTACTTTAATCGTAAGATAACTTGAGCACAAAGTCGATAAAAAAGGTGGCCTTCAAAAATATTGAGCCATTTGGCGTACACCCCCATATTGTCAAAATAACGGGATTATATTATAATAATAATAATAATAATAATAATAATAATAATCTTTTATTTATTCTGGGACGAATCCCTTTAGAATAATTAACAAGGACATAACTGTGGGCTTTTGAGTCTGAGATATATATAAATTTATTTACCAAGTAACTAATAGAAAACAAAAAAGTTATCTTCTAAATTAAATCGATTAAGAAGAAAAGAAATAAAATAAATGAAAGAGCAATGAAATGAAAATAATTGGATATAAACTAATATATATATATATATATACATATTTACAGAAGTTTCTATTTATAATTTTAGAGGGACTGGATGGAAAGAAAGTGATTGAATAGGTGGGATTTAAAAGTAGGGAGAGTATTGGATCGACGGATGTCGATATAGGGCAAACGGTTCAATATTTTTGAAGGCCACATTTTTTCTCGACTTTGTGCTCCAGTTATCTTACGATTAAAGTGGAAAGCAAACGGGTATTTACGAGTTTTTAGTACCTAATTAAATAGATAAAATTTGCCGACCTCCAGATTGAAAATGCCAAAATTCCGAGAATTTCCGTAAATAAAATATTTGTTGATTACGATGAGATTAAGCTTTTTACGAAGTTTCAGTCGGATGTTAATAATTTGTTAAAAAGGGGTCTGTACCACGGACTAATACATTATGTATGGTTAAGGTGGAAAACTCTATTGTCCCCCTACCCTTCCCTCAATGTAGTATAATAGAAGACAGTATTATAGTAGACAGTATAATAGAAGACAGTATAATAGAAGACAGTACCTGTGAATTTTACTAAACAAACGCAGACAAGCGCCCCTACCAGTTGCACCAATCCAAGTATTACAGTCGCTTTGTATTCGTCAAGTGGGGATCCAACTTCTTTGAACATCCCTACCTGTTAATATAACAGAAAACATTTAATTAATTTATGCTTATATGCAAGTATAATTACGTAAATTAATCTAAGTATAGTCCATGACAACATGAGAATAGGTTACCATTCATAAAGAGGCAGTCCATTCTTTAGTTTATTGAATTGTTTATGAGTTATTTGTAAATAAATTACTATTGGAGGAATATTGTCCATTATCCATTTTATTAATAAAATTTACAATTAATATTTTCAGAGTTAATCATATCACGCCGATATAATGGTGAAAAATTTCAGTGCACTTATGTTAGAACTGTGGCAACTTATAACAATAACTATATTAATGTTCATCGGAAAGAAACACAGGCATACTAGCTAAAGATAAGAGCATAAATAACTCTTTATTCGGTTTATTCTTCCTACTATAGTTTCGATGTCTCTATACAGAAATGCATGGGTAAACTACCATGTTTAGTACAATCAAATTTAATAGTTAGCTACAAAGAAGAATTAAACTTTTAATAAGATGATATGTTTAAGAGTTTTAAATGCTTGTATATACTCCTATATATATTATAAATGCGTATAAATCTTTATATAAACATTAATATTTAGATACATCAGAAAAGAGCCTAGCCAATATCGAAATTAGCCGTTTTTTATCTTTGCATATCAACAAAATAATTATGATTAGCCAATTGTATTCCAAACTAGCGATACATATATTATGCATGTTTAAAACCTGAAACTTGATATCTGTCACTTTCTAGAGATTGGCAAAATAACTCTTTTCATTTAATAATATATAGAACCGACTCATATACCTCAATAAGTTCAGCTCATGATTTAGGACTCTGTGTAATAGATAATACATTATGCAATTTATCAAGATTGACAACTCAATCCAAGAGAACTGGTTACATAAACTAGCAGTTTTTTCTTTAATCATTTATCACAAATCCAGCAATAACTATATATACTTATTATTATTATAGGTATATAGAAAAGTAATTTCCTATCTTTTTTAAAATACCATTATCAATCTTAACTTAAACATTTTAAGGAGCAGATGTAAATAATTTGTACATCGCTAATTGAAGCGAAATTTTAACACAACCCTCTCGAATAGATAAAGAAAATACTAAAACTTTTAGGAGAACATGTATGAAGTAGTATAGGCTCTTATTCCTGTAACATATTCAATTGTTTATTAAATAAACAAACTTACTTATTATTTGTTTTCTATTCTGTTTCGAAAGTTGGCAAAAAAACAAACAATATTCCCGTAACCTTCGGTAAGTAAGAAACGGGTTCTACGGTCGTAATAATATTTATAACAATAATCATTGCCTTTAAATCCCAAAACATTGCGTAAGAGAACCCGTACAGTTAATTAAATGTGAATATACAATTTGTTAATTAACAAATAAGAAAATTATACACACTCGCATGTTGGCCGACTCTCTAAAATAACCTCTCTTTAAAATAGACCTAATTGAAAGCGAATTAGAAAGAAAATTGCTACCGTACGACAATCAGAATTCAATTTTCAAAAAGGTGACACATTATAATTTTTATCATTAGGACATGAAAATGGGACAGTTTTCAAAACATGTGATTAATTTATAACAGTAATTATTCTCATATGTGCCAATACTAGCAGCAGTTTGTAATCGTCCCTTCCAGTAACAGAAATGAGGGCAAACAACGTGTTTAGAACTGGCTCATGAAGAATTACGAAAGGAAATGTTGAACAGGCACCTTCATGAAACATTGCAATCAACATTAACTGGCTATCGAGACCAATTCCAACATTTTTTTTTGTTCTTCACTACCTCGCGTTTTAGGCTACACAAGGTTTTCTCGGGCCTCGTACTTTTTAATCTCTCATATAACTATGCTTATCTGGTTGCCGGGCAACTCGTGGTGCTGTGCACACGCGTTAGACCATTCGGTCCCACCGCCCCAACCAATTCCAAGATATAGTTCACTTGTTAGTTCTCTTACAGAATTAAGAATTTAATGAAATGCCGAACGAAACAAGCGATTACCTCTGCTCTGGTGTCCCTTTGGGTCACTAGAAAATCCAAGATTTAATTTTTGGTACTCCACCACGGAATATATTTTTTTAAATATGTATATAACTATAATTACTTTAAAAGAAAAAGAAAGAAACTAACTACCTACTTATACCAAGTGGTTTTTAAGTGATTCTTGAATTTCTATTAAATGTAATTACACAAACAATAATACTTTCAAAGATAATTTTTTCATTAAACATGTTTATATTTCTAGTATGATATTATATTATATCATTTTGGGGCAACCCGCAAGCCTTCTCCTCCCCCCACACAACTACATTTTTATACGATCGTGCTCTTTATGATTTCGGTATCCAGCTAACGTGATTTATTGTCCAGTAAAGTTAGGGTGGGGGGGAAACCTTACCCCAACTTTAAAAAAATAATGATTAAACTTGTCAGAAATTGTTCATTACCTTCTCCATAATAATTGATAAAAAGTTCCAATGAATACCGCGTCGGGTTTTGATGGGAGGAGAGAAAATCACAAAATAAGAGTCATCAAAAGAAAGAAACTTTCGAATAATAATTTGAAAGATCGAAAATTATAAAAAAAAAAACTAATTATATTCAAAAAGGTATTGTCTACTATGAACAACATTTATTTTGTGGTTTGGAGCAATTTTTGCTTAAAGTGGAAATACAATAAATATATCCGTAACCTTTGATTTCATCAAAAAAATGTATAGGGTCATTTTTGTAGAGATTATAAAGTACTTTAATATTGTACTGATAAATCTTTGCATAGTTTTTGAAATATTTTCGAAAAAAATAAAAAAACATTATTTTCTCTCCTGCTCCTCTCCTCCCGCCCCCCCCTAACAAAACCCGACGCGGGATTCTTTGGGAGTTTTTACCAGTTATTATAGAGAGTGTAATGAAATATTTCTAACAAGTTTCATCATTATTTTTTGAATGTTGGGTTCAATCCTTAATTTTACTTGACTATTAGCAGATATTGATCATAAAGTAATACTACGCGCGTACAATAATAATAACAAGCTTGTTTATTCTTACGCACCTGTTAATTCAAATTTCAAATATTTTACGTTATTTTATGATCGTACAGGACCATTAAATATATTGAGGCCTGTTCAAACATTGCAAGGATCGCGTCTTTACCATCAAATAGGCCTCGAAGCAAATAGATAAAATTATAAATTTGTCGTTATAAAAATGTAAAGGCGCGTTTAAACCTTGATTGGTCCGAATCACGGTTAACTTCCAGGATTCACTAGTTAAGAATACCCACTTATAGCAGTGGCTGAATGTGTCCCAGAAGGGTCTCCCGATTCTATGGTCAATTCACGGCTGATGAAAACTTAGTAGTCATCAGCCGGATTCGAATCTGAGACCTTGAATTCTTGAAGTCAGTGCTCACCTACTGAGCTACCCCGCTCCTTTCACAAACTATAGTAGAAACAAATATATAAATGGTTATTTTACTATACTAATATCTTTGTTTCTTCTATTTTCCATCTGCTGTATGTATCAAGAGAAATGACGTAAATAGTTTGATTTATTGATAGTGTAGCTCTTGGGTAAGTTAGATAATTCTATTTCCTATAGTTTTTGAAATGTGTAAACGCACCTTAAGAGCTACTAAAAACCACAAACTTACAGCAAATGTCTGAAGCGTTGTCATGCCTCCAAAGTGGCCGATGAAGAAGACATAGCAGACAAGAAAATAAGGATGAAAGAAGGATCTCTTGAGGTAAGGGGCCCAGGATTTCTTGGGCTGCTCCTTGTTGGTGAGTACCTCCTGAAGGTGGCCTAATTCCATGGCCACGTCCTTTTCGTCCACCCATCCGCGCAGCCAGCACAATGATTTTTTTGCGTCTTCTACACGGCCTTGACCTACAATTGTTTTAGTTAATATTCAACTCTATAATAAAGAATAATAAAACAAAATTAGTGAGTACAATAAAGATACATTGCGACTGTTTAATTGAGTAAAATTAAGCATGGGAACATTCACCGCAATATTGCTGGTTCATTATCAACAAACCAAAAGTTAAAAAAAATCTCAGATAAAATGTCAGATTGAGAAAACTAAGAATTTTCTTGAGGAGAACAGTTATAGATATTTTTAATTCCTAAATTACCCACAGGATAATAACAGGAATAAACATAGAATAAACAGGAAGCGATGCATTAAGAAAAGCAAAAGTATGTTAAAAAAGAAATGGAAAGTGTGAATCACTAACGAACTATTCAAAGCTGAGTGTGCGAAAGTGGGTGGAGACAAAATGCATATGCATTACAATATGCTGCTAATAACAGCTTAACTAATGCTAAGTTATAAGGTCCCTTACATTAGGAAAACATACATCTGCAAATAGCAGTTCACTATTCTACAATACAATTAGTTGCATTACATTCTGGAATTTATTAACACAATTTGCATTAACCATATCCACTTAGCTGTAACATTCCTACAGACCATGCCTAAAGGTAAACAAAGATTATATAATCCGTGTTAAGGAACACAGCGTTAATTTCCTTTATTTATTATTTTAAATTAATTTATTTGCATTAATAACTTTGTTTTCTTTTATTTCATTACGTTTTAACGTTTAAATATTAAAAAAAAAACAGAAACCCCAACAAAAAATAAAAATGAAATCAGTGGTTTTAATTGGTAATATCATCGGTTTATTGCAAAACTTCATTAAGTGACATTTCATAACCCCAAATATTTAAGAACTTTAATGAATATTCTCTTTGTTGAATCAGAAAATTGTACACTTCGTGTAACTATAAATCATAAATAAAAGTGTTTGTGTCTAGCACTTTGAAAGTTAAACTATATATAATACACTTAGTGACTTTTTGTATTTTATACCGACGACTTAGTGTTTAGTTATAGTTTTATATGCTCGTTGTGCCATAGGTTAATCATATAGGTTTATATGATTGTTTTGTCGAGTATTATAGTGAGTATATTATAGCGGTAGCTACATACAAATGCTAAGTTTTAGGTCAGTGGGTTTCGTGAACATAAGAAGTCTGCCTGAGTCCTTTATTGGAAGCTAAAATTTGCCAACTGCTGTACCGGCCACTTATTATTTTACTGCCCATTTGCAGTTTTACATAATAATATGAGCTATTTGAAGTCTCCATAAAAGGAAAGAACTGCCTTCTGTCTAATCATTTCTACTAATCTCCAGCACGCGGCTACGTAAACAAGTTATTCAACCTTTGTTGTTGTTTTTACTTTCCTACCTATACTAGGTAAGGAAAGTATTGCGTTTGGGTCAAATTTCTGACATGCGGTTTTCGACGGATCTATACGTTTCAGAGCCTCTGATTCCGAAAAACACATTTTCAACCATTGCTCTTTCTGTCTGTGCCAAGATTATCGAAGAAATTTTCTAAAAAACTATATAAAAAATCCTTCATTTCGGACAACTATTAACGAAGTTACAGCTATTCAATTGTGAATGAGAGAAAATAGTTGAAATTCTGTTAAGAAGAAAATCTGTTGCACGCATCATAAAAGTTTTTCCTCGACTTTTTACAGGAATTATTGTTTGACAAAATTGGGCTAATATAAAAAAGTTTTTGATTAGCGATATTATAATGTATTGAATTTTTAATGCTGATCTTCCACAGGTCGGTTTACATTGATTTAGAAATCGTACTTAAATCTTTTCTTTGATCAATTTTCTTGAAAATAAATCCAATTCATTTTTTTTGTTTCTTAATAGATATATTTAAAGATATAAAAACTTTTCTGAAATATACAGGAAAGTTGTGTGAGTGGACACGCCGGATTTTTTTATATTTAGCTTAATCCAGGCTTTATTTTGTTTCAATTATCCAAAACATTATTTTCATGTTATAATTCCTTTCTGTTTCATGTCTGCTAGTTAAGCTTCATTTCATCAAAGTTTTCAAGTAAAACCTTGAGGGAGCTTAAAAACCCATTTCCTTACACACAGTTACCCAATATTCTGATTCATGGTCAAATGTGTCGCAAATGAGGCTAATATTTATAACTTGACCAACTGATAGATTGACTACTGGGAACCAATGTTACCGCGCGCTCTGTGACAAATCCTCCTACATCCTCGTACGCTTGCTCATCGAAAATTCGTACTACTGTAGGCTCAATTTTATTATTTATTTTTTAAAGTAAAATTAGATCAGAGCTTTATTTATTACCTCTATTCATATAATTTAAAGCCGTTTTACATTTTTTTTTTAAGTTAATTAAAATGAGTTTAAATAAAGGAAAGAAATTAAGTACATAAAAAAGTGCACATATTTTTAGAAACTATTGGAAAACTTCCCATAAAAATTAAAATAGCATAATAAACTTTTTAGAGGATACAATATTACTATCATTATTGAAAATAAATTGTTATGACTTCATGGAAGTTCGAAATTAGGTAACTTATAATTCAAGATAATTAATAGTATTTTTTTATTTTTATTCTACTTACTTAACTAATTAAATGAATTATGTAAGAATCGTAGTTTTATAAAGGGAATAATGGATATGCTTTCTTATATTTTATAATCGATAAAAATCGAAAATATTTTTTAAATATCACAGTAACTGTGATTTTTTTTTTTAATTTTGTTCTCTACAAAATTAAAAAAAAAAGCCATATACATATAATGAAGTTTTATGAAGAAAATAATAATTAAAGTAGATATAATTGCAGTTTATCTGTCTATGAAGCAACAGAAGTTACGTATTACGTATTAATATATATAATAACTCAGTAAAAATAATTGTAAAACAAATCTAAACTTCATTCTCAAATATATAACTTTAGATACGTCAGCAAAAATTATGTGCGAGGTATGATTAGTGTTGCCCAAAATCGGTCTTAGTCTTGCACTTTGCAAGACCAAGGCCGCCTAACGGTTGCGAGACCCAAGACCAGAACAGGTAAAAACAATCGATTTTTTAAATAAAAATTAAGACAAAATAGTTACTAATACTCCACGATTTTAGTTACTATAGGTTAATAATTGGTATAACCAATATACTTTTGCATTTAACTCTAATTTTTCATTCGGGCTTAGTTAAGTTTCTCCTATCTAAAAAAATACAGTAATATCTTTATAATAATAAGCGAATAAGTAACTGTGAGACTCTCGCAAGACCAAGACCATGATCAAGACCGAGTTTGCAAGACCAAGACTCGTCTCGGTCTCGCATATGGGTACGATGCTGGTCGATCCTCGTACGAACAGCAACACTGCTGAGAACAGCTGGGACATTCATTTTCGCTCACAATTCCATTGAAAATCTTAGGATGACCTTTAGGTAGATTCCTCTTATAAGGAATAAAACCTGATGGTCATTATCGATACAGGACTAACAAAATTTATTACGGAAGCGCAAGATTAATGATGGAGCATCCTGAAGGAAGTCGTGACTGCCATGGCCTTTGCAATAGTTTATTATAAGAGTTGTGCTATCATATATTGTTATGCAAATTAATTAAGTTATTTCAGCGACGGCGAGGACAAGGCCTGAGCCCTCCTGATCCATGACACAGGAGGTCATAATATTTCCCCGGGTTACCTTGGCGCTCCGAAAGAGGTGAGGCTATAAATAAAAGAAGTCATTGATACTTCTTCTAGATCAAGAGCTCAAACAGCATCCACGATCAACTGTATTTATTTATGTAAATTTAAATTTGTTTCCTTGGCAAATATAGAAAGTAAGCAATTAAATAAATTCATAATTTGACAGATCTCACTTTCAGAATACTAAATAGTTCCATATATTTTAAGTAGACGTTAAGGCAACACTTGCGTTTCAATAATTTTAAATATAAACTTATAAAACATTTTTTTATTTAATTTCAATCTTACAGTATATATTTAAATTATATCTTAAACAATATCTATCAACTTTATATCTATGAATGTTCCATTTGTTAATATACAATCAATGAATTGCGTAAAATTTAAGATTCCAATAGAAATAATCTGTTAATTTCTGGAATTCCCTTCCTATCAAAATTCAGCATTCTTCCTCTCTATCTACATTTAAAACCCTCCTATTCCAATTTCTATCCCAAAAATAGTCAGAAATCCTCCGCTAACCTTCTATGTTAATTTACATATTACATATTACATATTACATTCAAAATGACTCACATAATGATATATTTACATTTAATTCATCACTCAAATACTTACTATCAGATTCGTCTTCTTTTCCTTTTATTTTTTTTTTCTGCAGAAAAACAGTTTATTGCTAAGAAGAATGTAATGTATTTTTTATTTTTTTAAAAAGTGTATACTTTTTATTTATTTTGTACATAGTATGTTTAACTAATATTTTCTTTACTTTTTTTTCTTTTTTTTTACTTTTTATGTTTATTTTTATTTGGCCAGATATAATACTTTAATTTTGTACTTTTTTATTATTTTAAAGGGACTTCGTCCCAGATTAAAATTATTTTCTGTTCTATTCTAAAAAAAGAATATTCTTTCAGGATTAATTATCTTCACAACCTATTAATAAATTATTCATATTGATAAATTATATCACAATCTATTCTCTATTCTATGATAAGTATTATCAGAAATATGATCGTATTAATATTTTCTGTTTAGTCCACAGACGGATCTACGGGATGTTGTATTGATGTTGGGCTGAAGTCCCTCTCCCCTCCAAATGGTAAAATATAACCATAGTTTACAGAAAAAAAAATATTAAAAACTATCTCTTAAAATATTCTTGTTCGTGTAATTACATTTAATTGGATTCAAGAACCACTTAAACACCATTTGATGCAGTCAATTAATTTCTTTATTTTTTTTCAAATTAATTATTGTTATATTATTGGACACCCTGGGGATCATCCACTATCATCTTTATACTGATTGAGGACATCTTGTATTAATTATTTATTAAATTTTAAATTGGTCCATAATCGTCCTATCTTTTTGTCTAAATTCGTGGAATTGCTGTGTAATATATGTGTGCGATGTTGTATTGAGTTCCTGGCGTTTGAGAATTTAAAAAGGAAATTTTTTATCTTGGGGAAATGTTTATTATGCTGTGTCCATATGGATTGATAAGTATGCTGTGTACGAAGCAACCCTATGTATTAGGGTTACAGCATTACTTTTATTAAAGTATTTCTCTATCTCTCTAAATATATATATGAAAAAAAAGCTTTCAGGCTGAAGCCATCCCCCCCCCAAAAAAAAAATTAAATCCTGGATCCGCTAGTGGTTTAGTCTGATATACTACTAGTTTGGAATTCTCTCCCTTCTAATATTCCGATACGGCATTCTCTTCTCCTTTTTTATTTTCTCTCATTTAATTTTCTTTGAAAGAAAATTAATAGTAAGAAGAATTTCTTTTATGCTGTTTATATTTTTTCATTGACAATGATGTATTTACCGATACATTTTTATTAATGCGGTCTTTTGGCTAGATTTTTTTTTTTTATATATGTTCTAAAAGGACTTGACCTATTAATATGGTGATCAAAAGCCTCTAACGATTCCATAACAGTTCCATAAGGTAATCATCGAGTACCCAAAATTTCGATATTGTACCGATACCGTGGTAAGTTTAAAAATAGCTTACGAACTACAGTTGATCATTTCCACCTTTATTATTATTTGACGTGCATGTGTTCATATATCACTATATTCATCGTATACGTCACAGATTATTATATCTCTAAATAAATGAATTATTTAATGAGGAGTTACCTAAGAGCCAGTGAGGGCTCTCTGGAACCTGTGCTATGGCTATTATGGCGAGGATCGGGATGGCTATGTTGATGAGGGCCACCGTCCTCCAGGGATAGACGCTGCCCAGGAGGAACTGGATGAAGACGCCCAGGATGACACCCATCGACGCAGTGGCCGACAGAAAGCCGCGGAACTGTGGCTCCGTTATCTCTGCCACGTAGGTCAGCACCTGTTCTGGAAAAATTTCACTAAAAAATTGATCTGCCTTAGCCGAGAAGTTAAAAAAAAAAGAAAAAAAAAAAAAAAAAAAAAATATATATATATATATATATATATATATATATATATATATATATATATATATATATATATATATATACAGGGTGTTTCAGGGTTAAATGATCAAACTGAAAATATGAACTAAGGACCTAAGGACCTCAAAACAAGAAAAAAATTCCTCTGAAGGTATGTCCGCATTGTTGATATTCACACCTAAACATTTTCATTGTTAGGAATAATCTAAGTTATATTTAGAAAATAAAACTTATTCATTTGTTCCACCTACTTCATTAATTAAAAGTAAACATTAAATTCATATTAAATGTTGTTCATCAACATGCATCATTCTTCAACAGCAGCAACGGCAGAACGGCACTGGATATGTGTTATTGTTTCTCAGGATTCAATAATCCTTCATCGTAAAGAATCAAGGTCATCAACTTGCATAGACTTTTTGTTTAATGACACCCCAAACAAAAAAATCCAGTGGTGTCAGGTCTGGAGAGCGTGCAGGCCAAGCCACTAGTCCTGCACGGCCAATCCATCTCCTAAACAAAGCGTTTGCGGATATACCTTCACTTTGCACAACATTTAATATGAACGTTAATGTTCACATTTAATTAATAAAGTAGTTAGAACAAATAAATAGGTTTTATTTATTTCATTTTAACGTAAATAATACATAACAACGAAAGTCTTTAGGTGTGAATATCTCCTATACGAAGCGTTTGCGGACATACCTTCAGAGGAAATTTTTTTCTTGTTTGGAGGTCCTTAGTTCATTTTTGCTACTTAATCCTGAAACACCCTGTATATATATATATATATATATATATAACTTGTGACCCCTAAATATTATCTAAATCATATACAGGCGTGTTTTTAACAAATTATTTACATCCTAAAACTTCATCGAATTCATCTTATAGTTACCTGGAAGTTTTTTATTTAAGAAAATTCTCAGAAATGGAGCGTTTTCTCATTAAATTATTTAATCTAATGAGGTAATAAAAAATTACGAATACCCGTTTGCTTTCCACTTCTTAAATAAATTTGATCACATAATCGGGAAAATAGAAAGCCTACAAAAATATCGGACCGTTTGGCCTAAATAACCTCGTTATTTCGGCATGATAAGGTCGCTCTATATGAAAACGGCTCTATATTTTACCGCCTTTTTCTACACCTAGATTTTGTGACTGAATTATCTTACGATTCAAGTGAAAAGAAAATAAGTGGTCTCGAGTTTTTAGTACTTCATTAAATAGACAAAATTCAAAGATCTCCAGATTGAAAACGCCCTATTTCTTTCTGTGATATTTAGTAAATTGTAGGTTACAATAAGATGAATCCATTAATGAATTTTTAAAATAGATGTTAATAATTTGATCAAAAGGGCTCTGTATAGCGGACTAAGTAAAGCTTGATTTAATATCTGTAAATTTTAGCATATCGTATAAATTTTACCTTAAGTAACACATTATTTAGAATTCATATAACTCTTCTATCCATGGACTGATAGATCACACATAATAACTCTCGGATTCCACTCATATTTCCATATAACCTTGTAAAAAGGACATTTAATTGATAATCGTAAACAGAATCAAAGCGCAGATATTTATTTCTGTTTTTGTAAGATCTTCCTTGACATTTATGGCCTTTCGGCTTTGGCTCAAACGTTACAGTGACATTTAAAAACCATTAAAAAAATAAATAAACAAAACAAACACGGAAACGCAGAGTTGTTGTTAATTCAGTCACACTATGGATATTATCTATTTACAGATCGATAACATTTCGTTCACTTATAGAAGATTCAACATATTTTACGACAGATTCAACAAATCCTAAAGATTCAATGTTTTAACGATTATTGTGTTTATTTTTGTAGAATCTTATAGGTTTTAGTACATTCTACTCTACTAATTAAAGTAGTTTACACAGGGCATGGTGGCTGACAATATAGTACGACTATCTACCGTGATGGACGTTGCATAACTTAATACCAGTTGTAAGCGCATTAGTCCAATAGGTTTATATAATGAGTAAAAAGTATAAATCAAAATAAATTGTCTAATACAATTACTATTCAATAATATTAATAATTACAAAAATGGAGGACGTGTAGTTATTTTTTTCAAGATAATATTTTCTTTCCTTTCATGCCAGGCACGTTTCCTTCTATTGTATATTATTATACAACAATAATATATATATATACTATTGAAATTTACAACTGTATTAAATAATAAATACAACAAGTAAATATGAAACAAGTAACATATCATGTACCCATTGGTAGCAACTCATTTATATTAGAAGCTAGTAAAACTATTTTATTAAAAGCCGACGTTTGCAAGTCTTCTTCAGGGCTAGAACGGACAAGATACAAAAAGATAGAGAATTGTGGCAGTTACATAATATTTAGACAAAAATTATAAACAATCTGAATAAGCTTATTAAAATTATAAACAGTAAGTACATTAAAATTCAAATTTTAAATTCAAAATTACACAGTCTTCAAATTTTAGATACTGTAATTTTCTAGGGTTTTTCCCCATTACCCAAACAAGTCAGCTTCCCCTATACCTGCCCTTACCCTTGGTTTTCCAGTTCTAAGTGAAACTCCTAGCTGAACACACCAGTAAGTCTCTAATTTTATTCTTATAATTTTATTTACTTATTTATTTAGTTTTTTGGTTTTCTTTTTTTTTCTTTCTGCACATTCCGTTATGTATATTATTTCATATTATACCATTTTTCCTGTTCTTTCAATCTCCTGTAGATCTGTAGAAGTATATTCACATTTGCATTTATTATATGTTACACTACAACAATTGTTAGCATCTATTTACTTCAGTTTAGAATCTTGTTACTTAGCTTACCCTGTTCATATTTTAATGTACTTACTGTTTATAATTTTAATAAGCTTATTCACATTGTTTATAATTTTTGTCTAAATGTTATGTAACTGCCACAATTCTCTATCTTTTTGTATCTTGTCCGTTCTAACCCTGAAGAAGACTTGCAAATTCGGGTCGAAGCGTCGGCTTTTAATAAAATAGTTTTACCACTATTAAGCTTATTTATGACCGCCAGCCCGGACCATCTCCTTCCTTTATAATGCAACGGTCAACTAGTAAATATTCAATTCCTTATTATAGTATTATATATGAGTCTTTGTATAGTTTAGAGCGTTTTTCTAGTAAGTGCTGCAGTAGGCGAAAACGTCGGGTGGTTTCAAGTAGTTTCGGACTGGTATGGGGGTCAAAAGTAATATAACCGATTTTTATCTCATTGTGTTATTAATAATTAAATTCTCATTTGAAATCTTATTGCTGTTAGCTAATTGACCTCAACTATAATTTCTAGACCTATATTAGGTATAATGTGAATATGACAGCAACTGATATCACTATTATTTTCCAAAGAATTTGAATAATTACTTTTTTTAGAAAATAACTCAACGTGTATTTCACTTTTTGTGAGATTGCGGAATAATTTCACCACCTTGATAGCTATTTCGATATGTTAGCGATTACGAGTTGAAGTAACTTAATGAATGAAAAGTTGACCCCTAGGCTAACACTAAGCCAGGAACCTGTTATCCTATTTTCTACGCTCTACTTACCGGTGCTTCGAGGAGACCCCCAGCGAGGCCCGTGATGGACAGGGCTAGGTAGAGCATCCCCGCGCTGTCGGAGAAGTAGTAGACGACCCAGGCGATGCCCAGCGGCACGTTGAGGCAGATCATGCTCTTCTTGCGGCCGAAGGGCTGGGTGAGCCTGCCGCTGAGGAGGCAGCCCAGAGGCACCGTCAGCAGGTTGATGCTACCTGAAACACCGTCCTGGTTAAAGTTTATCTGTCATTCAATATACATCTGTCATTCAATGTCTGTCATTCAAGGTCTGTCATTCAATGTTTGTCAAGATACATAAACAAACATCTGTAAGTAGCGGAAAATTTTCATAGGAATGACAGCATATCTCAAGATCTAGAAAAGAGTTCAGTGCCGATTTTCAGCATAAAAGTATGAAATCCAAGTATGGTGTTTTCGTAAAAAAGACAAAATAATAGTTTTTTAAAAATAAGTTTGGGTACTTGTGAGCGACGCGTTCTCTATGTGCAGTTATCTTGTTATTTAAAGTGTTATTTATATTTCATATTATTAAATGTTTATAACCTGAACACTGATAATTGTTATAAGGCACTGGTAATCCCTATCTTCATATGAAATTAGACTCTCGTATAATAAGAAATATAAATATATTTGGTGTTGCCTCTTTTTTGCCTTTTTTTTATTTATATATATATATATATATATTAATAAGAAATATAAATAACAAAAATAACACTTTAAATAACAAGATAACTTCAGATAGCAGTACATAGAGACCGCGTCGCTCACAAGTACCTAAGTTTGTTTTAAATTATTACATTTAAAAAGAGTTGTTTAATTGAGACATTGCGGATACGAAGTGCGAACTCAAGAAACCTTTGAGAAAACCGCAGTTAAAGTTTCTACACAAGGAGCGAACTCTACGAGACCTAGTACAGTAAAACTTTAATTATGATTAAATTACGATAAATTTTATCCTTCAGTTTCTGCTAACTGTCATTTGATATACTTGAGTTCGCCCTTCATATGCGCACCGGCTCAAGACTCCCAGTAATATAAATTATGACATTCGTTGACAATTGTTTTATTTAGTGAATGATTCGCTAGTACGGAAAAGTAGACTAAATGGAAGACAAGAGGTACCAAAAGTATGTTTACAAATTTTAAAAAAACATTCATCTAATTATTGCTAGTGTTGCCCAAATGCAAGACCGAGACGAGTCTTGGTCTTGCAACTCAAGCTTTGTCATGGTCTCGGTCTTGTGGCAGAGTCTCGCAACAGACTTGCAGTTACTTAATAGCTTATTACTATAGAAATATTACTATATTTTTTTAGATAGGAGAAACCTAACTAAGCCCTAATGAAAAATTAGAGGAGTTAAATGCAAAATTGTATTGGTTATACCAATTATTAAAATATAGTACCTAAGATTGTCAAGTATTAGTAACTATTTTGCCTTAATTTTTATTTTAAAAATCGATTATTTTTACTAGTCCTGGTCTTGGTTTTGCAACAGTTAGGCGCCCTTGGTCTTGGTCTTGCAAAGTGCAAGACCAAGACCGATTTTGGGCAACACTAATTATTGCTGAGAGCAATAGACTCGGTTGAATGATTAAACATTAAAAGTAAAGAATAATTTGAAGGAGAATTTAAAAATGTTATTGAAAAGTTAAAATGTAATAAATTTTCCCTCGTTATTCAGTCTATATCGAACTCAAAATTCAATCAAAACTTTAGAAAAATTAGTAGCTTCATTAAGGGTGAATATTCTCTAAAAATTAAGGGGCCAATAAGAAAGTATAGAATGATTAGCCAACTTGAGAACTTAAAAGTTACTTCTTGCGGTTTTCAGAATAGTTATCTAGATAGGAGCACTGAATGCACCATTTGTAACATACGTGAACCAGAAGATTTATACTATTTTTTTGCTGCAATGACCTACATTTTAGAAGTAAGTATTTAAGTAAATATATTAATGGTAATTCTGGTGATAAAGAATAAATAGTAAAATTATTGCATATAGAAAACAAATATGAACTCGATGATTTATACTGGTATGTCGAAAATTGTTTAGAATTAAGGAATGTTTTTATGTTTTATCAATAACTTTAAGGTTAAGATTGTATGTAAATAATAATATTAGGACTTGACATTATATTTCAGTTTATTCAAGATAGTTTGTATAGTTTATAATTGTATCAAACATAATTGTTTTATTTTACTGGTTCTTACTATTAATGTATTTAATTTGATTTCATGTATATAAACTTAACTCCATTTGTATGGATCCACTCAAAAACAAATACAATTTATTTATTTAATGAACGGAAAATATCTGTTTCGGGATTAATTCTTATTGCAATATTAGTATATCGAGCAATTTGATCTGCACCTTCATTTACGGGTAGATGAATGAATGGGCCCCATGTGCCCAGGTACCCGCTATAATGAAAATTTATTACTTGATGTGGAAATTAAGAATTTATACAGTATTTAATGGGCAATTAGGGTCCTGTGTGCATTTTGTAGACATTGGCATACCGAGGCTGAATCTGTGAGGACGACTTTATTTTTACCTTTTTATAGGATAGGTTAGTATGTTCTACATCCTTAAAAACAGTAAAAAGTTATGGTAAACACTGGAAATATATTAGGTATGGAAAATACTGATATTGTTTGGGATAGAATCATACTTTTTTTGCGGGTCATAAACGACTATACAGTATATAGTGTATAGCATGTATTGGTCGTCTTAGAAGCGGTAGATTTTGATTTTGATATGAGTAATTATCAGCTATTTCATTCTAGGTATGAAGTTTTAGCAAATATGGTGATAATAAATTTTTATTATTTATATTTGATAATTTGTATTTACTACGATAAAGAAGTAGTGACATGAAACTTTGGAAGCCTGTAACATATAAAACCAATACGGTGACAAAAATAGGCTTTTTCGACCTAGTTCAATATGTCTGAAGGTAAACATGGATTGAAAATGTACCTAATGTGAAGGTTGTACAGAAGTAGGTCTATTTAATATTTATTTCAATATTATAAATCTTTTATTATTTTTATAAATATGCTATTTAACTTATTTCCCTTACATTAATTTTAGCATGTTTTAATGAAATGTTTCACGACAAAAAGATGTAAGTGTCTCCCAGTCCTGTCAAATTATTCATTTTATAAACAAAATAAACTAATTAATTACAAGTAACTTTTATTAATTTTATCATTCAGCAGGTGTAATTATAATTCTACATGTATTTAACAAAGATAAAATGCCTATAAATTATCTATATTTATATGATATCTACCAATGTGTAGATTCTCTACAATTCTTCTCATGCTATTATATTTCTACATGATTTGATAAATAGTTCGTTAGGTAACTAGGATCTTTCTTTCATAAATCTAAGTTTAAGTATAAATAATTTATCTTTATTGAGAACATTTCTTTAACAAAAGGGAAATTTGAATGCAGCTTTATCTCTTTTTTAAATGGAGTCTTTTTACTGGCATGGTTCGAATAAATTCTGTAAGAATACATCAAACACAACTTTTTGTTTTCAGGAAATGTGAAGAAAGAAAAAAGTCTTTTTAAGTCTGACATCATAACCTCAAATATTTTATGGTTAACAAGTTTGGGTTGCAGACACATAGAAATATATATATATATATATATATATATATATATATATATATATATTTGTAAATTATCATTTTTATCCGTGGATCTAATCCTAAACTAACTTCCAATCCATCATAATAATATATTATTTTTGCTCAACTAGAAAATAATATATATATATTTCAGAGCCAATTTGCAAACACCTCATTAAATTGGACACACAAACACATATATAAATATATTTTCATATAAATTAGACCATCTCTAAAACAGCACTGATTTCACTTACTAATCCATGAAATTTCTTCGAGGGAGAGTCGCAGATCTTCTTCTCCACCGTGTAATGTAGAGTTCCTGTAGTCTGCCACTTGAGGGATGAGTATGGTCGGAAAGCCAATCGTCATTCCATAAGCGAGGAGCAGGAGGTTTTTGGCGTTGGTCGCCAAAACCTAAAGAAAAGGTACAAGAAACATAATTAATGATTTGTTTATAATGAATACTCAGAAAATACTTTACAACCATTTGATGTACAGGTTCGTTTACAGCTTGTAACTTATTTGTTGTACGTGTTATAATGGGTTGTTGTTTATGTGACTTTACTTCAAAATCAATAATTTTCTGTCGTAAAATGGTTTTGTTCACAACCATATATATGGATTAAATGTCATCATTATTAAAAACCATATTAAAATGTTGATTTTTATTTAGTATGTATGCATAATGCAGGAGCAATCTAGGATCAGATTATTAATGCATTGTGGAAAAATTATATACAAGACCCTTGTACGGCCTATTTTGACATATGGCTCAGAGGCTTGGACGATAACGAAAAGTGATGAGATGAAGTTGAGTGTGTTCGAGCGAGGAGTCCTCAGAAGGATCTATGGCGCAGTAATGGAGGGTGATGTCTGGAGGAAATGAAAGAATAGGCAGTTCTCTTTATAAAGACATCGACGTAGTCACCTATATTAAACTTGCCAGACTAAGGTAGGCAGGACATGTAGCCAGAATGAGCGGCTTTGAAATGCCCAAAAAAGTTATGATTGAGGAGTTGCACTTCGCAAGACGGGTAGGAAGGTTGATGGCGAGATAGCTGGACAGCCTGGCCTATGATGCAAGAACCCTGCTTGGGGTACGGAAATGGAGAGCTGCAACAGAAGACAGCCAACTGGCGGAAACTGTTGAAGAAGGCCCAGCCTCGGTAATGTATGTATGGAAAATACCAATAAAGAACTGCTTACAGAAATTGGTCAATAAAAATGCCATGAGAAGACTAGGAGGTTAAGATATAGATAGAATCATGTTATAGATAGAGATAGATAGAATCATGTTATAGATAGAGATAGATAGAATCATGTTATAGATAGAGATAGATAGAATCATGTTATAGATAGAGATAGATGGAATCATGTTACAGGCTACATGGAGCGAACTGGAAAGCAATAACTCAAGATAAGCAGAGCTAGAGAAAGCTGATTCAAGCAGCCAAGGATCTACAAGTCTGAAAAGGCAACAGTAAAAAAGTATAATGTTCATACAAAGTTTGACGAAGTTAATTTAATTTAATCTTTTCATAAATGCTAAATAATAAATAAATAAAATAAAAGTAAGTGAATACAACACGTGGAAGAAAATTATTCCCATGTGCAGTTTTTCAATGTCAATATCAATAAACTTTGTTAAAAAAAAAAAAAAAATAATATAATTATGTTTCAATAGGAACAATATATCAGAATAATTCAAGAGCTTGCACATATCGCATTATGAATGTTTTTCAGGTCACAGCAGTGTAACCAGCAACCTGCAGCAGTGTATCATATTGATCAATTTCAGATTTCTAATAAAACCTGCAATAGTTATTTTCTCATAACATTAAAACTTCATTACTCGTAAAATCAGTTGTCAATTTGTTTTTCCTCAGTAAATTGATGTTTATTACGAATGATTATTTCATTGATTGTCAATTGAACATTTCTCTATCTCAAAGATAACTTTCACTCGTAAACAATGAATTAGGTTCTATTTTTAATTTTCTGTATTTGTAACTGCCTGATTAATAATCACACTACATCAACTGAGAAAAGAAAATGGTGTAATTTTGCTGAACGATATTTAAGCGCTGTACGGTGTCTACTTCTAGCCATTCTTGAGAAACTACACCTAATCATTCATTCCAATTACTCAGATCAACTGAACTATTACTAGTTACTGTTTACAGGCAAGGTGTTGATGCTTTGCTTTTGTAAACAGCCTCGAGAAAATTGAGGCTCAAATCGCTCAATCAAATACAGTAGCGTGTCTAAAAAAGTTTAAATAATTTTAACTTTGCAGATACAAATATAAAATTGACTATTTTTTAGTGAATTAGTAAAAAAAATTAACAAAAGTTTTTTTATCAATTCAATATATGATGAAATTACAGGGTCTAGAAATAATCTCGTAAACGGAAATAATAGTTATAAATTTAGTGCGCGCATCACACAGATTTCACTTACAATCCCACTTTGAGTAGAAATAGGTATTTTCATGTAAGGGAAGCGAAAGTAAAAATTGTAGACGGTATAAAATTTATTTAAAGCAATCATCTAACAACTATGGATGGGAAACAAAGCCGCTTACATTAAGGAATGAGCGACATCTTAAGGTTTTTGAAAATGAAGTATTGCGTAGGATATTCGAACCGAAGAAGACTGAACTGCGTGAACTATATCCAGTAAATATAATCGAGGTTGTTAAATTGCAACGTATAAGATGGACATGTAAAATTGTTGAGCTTGGTAACGAAAGAATTCTTAAGAGGATAATATGTGCTATGCCGAATGGTACACGAAGGGAAGGTAGAAAGATTGCGTTAAAGCTGATCTGGTGGGGTTCGGTTTGGACAGCGATTGAAGGTATTAGCATCGAAATTTCGGGTTTGCTAAGCCTTTTATTATTATTATTAATTATGTAACGACAGGTAATTGGTAAATTTATAGATTTTTCTTTGCTTTCATATAGTCGCAGCAAAAAAACAGTTTCAGAACCACAAATCTACAACAGAACTACTATTAGTTAAGTATACTATATATATATGTATATATATATATATAGTTTATTGGGTCGTTTGGCGTGATCTCCATCTCCAACACGTCAAAATAATGAGGTTATATTGGCCAATATTTTTGTAGGTCACCTTTTTTTCGGTTTTGTGATCAAATTATTACGATTCGTGTGGAAAGCAAATGGGTATTTATGAGTTTTTAATACATCATTCAATTAATTAATTTAATAATAAAACGCTCTATTTCTGAGAATTTTCGTAGATAAAAAATTTGTAGGTTACGAATAAAATTAAGCCATTCACGAAGTTTTTGGCGGATGTTATTGATTTGACTTCAATTCATCAAATGGCCGGGACCGAAAATCAGTATTAGCAATAGATAAGCCATACTACGTATGACAGTATGGCAATGTAATATTATGTAAAGTCAGAACATGTCATAGAGTCAGACCTCGCGAAAGACTCGAAAAAGTTCATAATCTAAAGGAGAAGAAGGGTCCGGTAGCTGAAGACCTCCATCCTTAGAGATGGACGGATTTCCAAATGTACTCACTAAGAAAAGTCGTTTGAAAGCACCAAGGACAACTTCATGCGCCTGCCGAGCCGATAAATAGGTAATTATATTCTACACTGCTTAGATAGCCTATTTAAATTATACGCACCGTAGCATGTAGTCTTACGCAAGGCAGTTCTTTCACAACATAGTGTGGTTGTAAATAAAATGTTTAAAAGCAAAGTGAAGATTACGAAGACAGATATATAAAAATAACTAAATGTGCAAATGTCGTTGTTAATATTAAGGACTCCTTGCAGGGTCAATACTATTGGAGAAAATACAATGAAAGGGCCTCTCAAACGAATCGATATTATGTCAGTAACATTTCCAAAGGGTAGTAACTTTCTTTTTCCTGGACATGAATAATAGTATATTTCATATTTTCTAATTGCCTTGGTAATGACATTAAAAATAAGATTATATAGTAAAAATATCTTATTTTACTATACCACATACCACATAAAACAAAAAAGAAAAGAACTTAATCAGCGATAAATACTTCATTCTAGGCTAATTAACTATTGACAAAGTCCTCTTTAAACCAGTTTGGACATATGGAATCGAACTATGATGGAGAACAGCAAAGAAATGAAATATAAAGATCATCCAATCATTTCAGCCAAAAGTCCTTCGGAAAATTGTAGATGCACTCTTCTATGTTTCAAACTTTATGTTACACTCTGACCTTAACACTTCTTTCATCAAGGCAACTACCCCAGAAGTTTAAATAATTTTTATGACAGACTGACTCTAAATTCCAATCCACTTACTCAAGCTCTATCTACTGCCACAAATCCATATAATCCGCCCAGAAGACTGCTGAGGCGCTGGCCAAGAGACTTATTGCACTGAGCTACTTACTGTATTATCTTTTTTTGTGTGTGTGTATTACTATGTTACCTTATATTCATTTTACTTCTGTTTTTTTTATGTTTGTTTTGTTTTGTTTTGGTATAACTATTGTTATTTTTTATGCTACCATTTATTCTCCTTGATATCATATTTGCTGAATACCGAAGTAGATGGCAAATTTATTGTGAGCCAGAAATGTGTGTAACTAATAAATAAATAAATAATAATAAAATTTTATCGTTACAATTAACTGTACTTGATTATAAGTCGATCCATGATAATAGTGATTAATTACTTATCAATCGTTTCTTTCCAATTACATTGTTATGAATGTAATATTTCTGTAATGTATATCCAATGGCACATTTCTTCTAAAGTTACACTCTCACAAATGGTCAGCAAGTATTTCATTAACGGTCTTGACAGCGGTTAAAGTTCTATTTGAGTATGATACCTTAGGTATTGTGGAGCTACTATTTAAAGGTATACCATCATAAAGCATATGCTCTTTTAACATTTTACCACGTATTTCTGTGATGTGTAATGTATCCGGATTATTCATAGAAGTAGGGCCCAGTCACCTGATCACGACTTTCTCTTAATCTTACACTTGTAGAATTTCTGTCTGTGAATTTCGGGCCAATATATTACCTACTTCAGTTTCGATTGCATTGATTTTCGACTCTGATAAAAATTTGCAGCACTCTGATTCAGTATTTGATTGACTCGGTCAGTGAGTTTTTGGGATGATGATTTTTACGGGTATTGTTCATTCCAGTGACGGTTGATTCTATTGCTGTATCCATTTTTTTTTTCTAAGTATGTAACCAATAAGTAAGATCCAATTAGTGGGCGGGGTGGCAAAACAGGTTAACGTGTGTGCACAGCACCGCCGTTGCTCGGCAACCTAATATATGAGACATTGATAAAATATAGTCACGTTCGTGTTCCGGTGCTGAGGGAGTCTTTTAAATCCCCGCCTATACTCCCTGGCCCAG